GGTGGTGTTGGGAGTTCCATCCCACATCGAAAAAAACAATAAAATGTCCAACATATAAGGTCTATAATTCGTCCTCCTATCGCCATTTTATTTCAGGATGGAATCCACATGAGCATGTGTGTTAGGCTTATAGCGTAAATGCGCACGAACTGGCGTGTGTCTCCCCACGGTATACTTGGCCCATCAATTTGTGAATGGTTATGCGCACGAACTGGCGTGTGTCTCCCCACGATATACTTGGCCCATCAATTTGTGAAAGGTTATAAAAACGATTTAAAATTAGTTTTTAAAAAAATTAAAGAGTAAAAAAGAAACCAGAAAATGAACAAAAAAAATTAGAAATGAACTTCCGTGAAAAAGCAGAAAATGTTTCACTAATTTTTATATAATGAAAATAAAACAATAAAGACTTTTTCTAGACAAAAAATGAAAATGTTTAATTTCAGACGAATGAAGTACACATTACATCTTTTTATTTTATATTTCAAACACAAATTTTATTATTAAAATATTATAAAAATAATTTTAAAATAGAACTCAAAAAACATTTATGGAAAAAGAGAAGAAAAAAGAAAAACAATAAAGAAAAAGAGGGCCAATTGTGCCCATTTCAAAACCAAAGGAGACCACTAACTATTCACATACGATTTGAAAGATATTTTAGTTTAGAAAAGCATTGACGTAAAAATATCAGAATTATGAGAGACAACGACTTTGGTTTTGAAATCATATGAAATAAAGGTACGCATTTACCAAACCAGGAGAGGTATTAATGCAATAAACATCATAAAATAATGGACCATGCTACATTTACATAAAAAATTATACCTCATTTGTACACCGCAGTTATATACAAACATTTTGATGGTTTACACTGACACAAATGTTGGTGCGTTAACAAAAATTTACACGAACACAAATTGTTGGTGCGTTAATAAAAATTAGTTTTACACCAACACAAAATGTTGGTGCAAATCTGCGGAGTACAAAGTGGGGTACAAGTAGTTTTATCCTAAAATAATACACCAATGAATTAATGGGCGATTTGTTAAGCTATATATCTATATTGTTATAATTGGAGGATATATTTAGTTCTAAATTTACTGCTTTTTTCTTAAAAAAAAAACAAGATGCAGCATTGGGTTAAAATTTAAAGCCAATCTCCTAAATTCTATTGGCGAATTTCAAGGCAGCATTGGATTTATAGGCGGATTTACTTACATGTGTTGAAACTTTGTTTATAGGATAACTGATGAAAAACTTTGATTTTTTTAAAACCATAAAAAAAAAACGTGTCAAATATATTATTAGATGAAAGGAATGTATTTCAAAGTAGATAACTTTTCAAAAGTTTAAAAATATTCAAAGACAAGCCACATCACAAGTTATCACAGGCACAAAAGAAGGTTCCAAGAATATGCAAAATCAATAGCCCCTTGATGACCCAGGATGCTCTGTTTGTAAAATTGACGGTTCTTACCCTATCTAACCCCCGGTAAACCCCCGCCCGAACACACCTCCCACTCCCTTCAATTGCACACTCCAAGTTAATTTTGACTTGGAGTCAAATTTCGACTCCAAGTCAAAATTAACTTAGAGGTGCAATTGAACGGGGGAAGGTGTTCGGGTCGGGCCAGGTGGGGGGGGGGGTTAGAAGGTAGAAACTGTCAATTTTGGAAACGGGGCACCGGAGCACCCCCGAATCATCCTATGACATTGATTCCCAATGTCATGAGAATCGATCCCAATCAATAAATCATGTCACACACAATAAAATAAAAATGACTAGAAGTGTGCTAGGAGTACACTAATTTTGTATCTCAATTTTTACACCAAGTGATAAATTGGGGTACAAATTTAGTATACCCCGTGCACAGATAATTGATGTCTGTGTGCATCTTCAATACACATAATGTGCAAATTAGAGTATAAATTTGATGTGCCCCTAACATTTTACTAAATGATTAATGCATGAAATGGAGTCCAAACACCTGTACAGAATTATAGGTAAGATGAAAGTGAAGTGGGGGATGGTGTTGACTGTAGACTATGCTTCTTACCTAATCCTCTTCTTTGACTCTGCCATTCCAATTATTTCAGAGCTTTCTGTCAAGCTTATGTCACAGTTTTGGTCAAAATTGAAAAAGATTATATTGACATCACCATCGCCTCAGCATTGCATCACTCACTCTCCTTCACCTCAATATAAAAAAGGCATAAATCTAAGGATTCTAAGCTAACAATCAGCAAAAGATGTTAAGAATGAATTGCACCGTGATAGTTGAAGAGACTCCTTAATTTAACTCCTTAATTTAAAAATGAAACATGAGAACAGAAAAATGAAATAAAATATGGAGTTAAAAAAAAGATTATTTTTTATATTTTTATTTCTTTACATTACTTTTTTAACTGTTATTACTCTTTACTTTGTACATAATATTTTATTTTTCATTTTTTTGTAACATTCTCCAAAAAATATTTTGTTTTTAAAAGTACATTATGAAAAATTCTAATTTGAGATGAGAAGCATATATTTTATTTTATATATTTGTATAATAAAGCAAATTAAAATCAGAAAAATTCAAGATCGGTCAAAACAAAAGGGCATAAATGTCATTTTTGTTTTAAAAATAGGTAAGGGGGGCACGTGTGCTCTATTTAGAAACCACAGAGACTTTTCAAATAACTTTTGAAAACATGAGGATTTTGACGCCCTTTTTGTAAACCATAGAGGATGCCCATGCTACTAACCCATAAATTGAATTATAATATCAATCTAATTGATAGCATTCAAATGTTTCTCATGTCCCCACCATCCCTTCTTTGATTAAAAAAGGCCTACTTTGCAACAGAGCATGTCCTACATCTTTCACATGTGGTTGGCCACCCGAAAGGGACCAACCCACATGTGAAAAAGGTGTGACAAGGTGTGTCCCAATACGTGTCGATCAAGAATATTTTTATCCTAATCGAACACTAATTTTCAAGAAAAGAGATTTCTTTTAATAATTCAAAGTTAATGTTTGCTCAATCATGATTTAATCTCAATATGGTGCGTGCATGTAAGTTACACCCACCGGACTCCAGGCTTAGCTTGTTCACCATTCCACAAACCACTTGTGCCACCCATGAAATCTAACCATAAGTTGAACACAAGGCAAGGTGATACCAGTAACGATAACAAAAACCACAATCTATGACTGTACAAAATATTCGTGTTGGCATACAAGACAAAAAAGAAAGCAGATATAGGATTGGGAACTTGTGAAGATGTGTTTTCTTTTCCTACTACATTTCCTATATCTCATCCTTTTCATCCCTCCCCTCTCGTTGCAATTCTTTTTGTGTATCCAGTGTTGGTTTGTCTAGTCTGAGAGGGTGTGGGGATGGCGTGATCGGATTATCATGTACAAAAAAACGACTCCTGACCAGTGAGAGGTGAAACATTATCTGGTCCGGAATTCATTGCGGAATCTCACTATATTGCTTGAGAACTTCTCCCTATTTTTCTGATCCAAGCTTCGGTTTATATTAGCCATTAGTTTATCAAAACACAGAGATAGTCGTTGCTGCTGATCACCCGGCTGTAAATATAATAATGATGTTAGTAAATCATAACAGATACTATATCAAGGGGACCAAGACAAGGTGTGTTTGGTTTATCTTTGTTTAATAAAATCAAAGAGGTTTTCCTTTGTAAAGAAACATGTATGCAGATACAAATATTGGACGCGCAATTGGGCTGGGCTAGCTGGTTGAGCCAAGTATTTGCCAGCCCAAAATAAAATTGACATTAAACTCAAGCACTTCAAGCTTAGCTTGAGTAGCTCATCTTGCTTAAACCAAACTAGATTCGAGTTTTTGTTGGGACGAGCTTGAATAGCTCGTCTTGCTTAAACCACCGCTCCTCAATGGAAATAGTAAATAGGAAAGATGTCAGCTACCGTTAAGGGTGCAAGAATAAATGCAATGTCAATTAGTATTTGATTTGGTGCTTTTTGACACAGCATTGTGTAAATGTGAACCACTCACAAAGATGAAATGCTGAATAGTGGCCACACAAGTTCAATCAAACTTACTTGTGATGCCAAAATCTGAGCCCTCAAATTTGAGAACATCTGCAAGATAAGCAAAATATTGTACGAGTTTATCATACAAATTATTAATCACATACTAGTCTATAAAGAAAACAAAATTTCCTTCATAAATGGCTTTCTTTGACATTGTTTGGATAGGCCAGACTACAAATGATATTCAAAACTATATTTGTCAATACTATGAAAACAGTGTATTTCTCCTTCTCCGCATTATCAAGTTCTTTTATTAAAAAAATCACTAACTAGACCTATAACCTAAGTTTAAGAACTGTTTGGTTCAGCAAGAGAGAGAATAGAAGAAAATGAGTAAATGAAAAATGATCCGTCCTTAAAAACATGACGAACATTACAGCCTTTAAACACCATTACCACTTCTCAACCCCTCCAAAATCTCCACCAACCCACACTGTTTTGGAACGGAAGGAGGCAACAAGTGAGAGATTTTATTCATCCAATTTTCCAACTCTCCCCCTACCCACACACCCACCACCACTTTTTAAAGCAACCATGATAATAAAACAATGAAATAAAACCCTTCCAATCAAACACTACCTAAAGAAATATAGACCAATATAGAAATTCTAACACCACTCACCAACACCCCTACCCAGAGAAAAAATGTGTTTGACCACCCAGGAATGCATATTCCGTAAGCATCAGAGTCACGAGTCATGCATCTCTAACATCAGAACAGCTAAGCTTGACTAATTAACAATTAGCAAAAGCATGAGTATTTTTAGCACAGTAATGTGATGAGATTAAAAAATATAAAAAAACCTACAATAAAATTGATAAATAAGAATTAAAAGTGAGATTACCTCATCACTTATTAGTATTAAACTCAGCATTGGTCTATAAAGGCTCAACTGGCTGCCACAATCTTCGAACAAAACAATCTCAAAGAGGGTTTTCAATATCTAGCAGGCAATAAGTTCACATCAGTGTTATATAATCAGCATTGTATATAGGCATCAATACAATGTGACATTACATGATCAAACCACATCTGGTCTTAGATTTCTGTGCAATTTTTCTTAATCAGTGAAATTTGCATTCCAAATAAGACTCAATGCCTGTATAACACATGATACCTTCATTTATTGCGTTAATACTCGTTTTAGTCCCTGCAAGTGCACTCACGAGCCAATTTGGTCCTAGTAAGTTTCATTTAGTCAAATTAGTTCTTGTAACTAGGAAATATGAATCAAATTAGTTCTTTATGTAGAATTAATCTTCTAAAATTTTAAGTTAACACGATAATTGACACAACAACTAATACATTGGGACATTGCTATTGCATCAATTAACGTGATAGCTCAGAATTTTAGGAGATGAATTCCATTCGAAGGACTAGCTTGATTTACATTTTCTATAAATAGGGACTCACTTGACTCAAATGAACTTACAAGGACGAAATTGAGTTTTGAGTACACTTGGACCAAAATGAGTATTAACTTTTCAATTCTTTGGTAATTGTAACAGATTCAAGGAAATCGAGAGTAAAAAGAAAGGATTACCCATTTACTCAAAAACTAGCATAATTATAGGTTGAATAGTTCACTAAAGATGTCCGTTGTAAAGAGCATAAAACAATAAAAAAAGACCCGTGTTATATTGTTGCATAGGGTACATGACAATACACAAAACCATAACTTTTGAAACACAGCATTAGCATCGTGAATATCTTCAATAAAAAAGCAAACAAATGAATCCAAGGGAAATCCAGAGGTGCGTTTCAAAGAAAGGCAGTGCACCATACAGCATATAAATGGCACATAAGATAAATAGTGATCTTACTTCAAGAAAAAAATTAGAGCAATCTGAGAAATGCTGAGCAAGTTTATGAGCGACTGGGGATGCATGTGACTTTCCAGATGTTATGCATTCAAAATAGAAAGTTGCCAAATAGTCCACAGCCGATGCACACTGAAATGTATAAATAAGAAATGAGATTATTCTTAAATACTCTGCAAAAGGCAAACACATGAGAAGTGAGCAGGGACATGCCTGTGTCATTATATTTGCATCCAGTACTTTAAGACCAGACTCAAGAGACCGAGCAATAAACATAAAGTTGTTTGTATCCAAATTTAAAATGAACGAGATCTGTACTTTCATAAGAACCTCCAGAAATGTGAAGTAGGCTGCTGCCAGCTGCAAATGTTCTTTGTTTAAGAGGCATTTTCAAGGGATGTGAAAAAATAGTATATAACTCACAGGAAAAAGACACTGATAACAATAGCAACTGTAATGAAAAGGGCCTACTAAATTTAGGATCCTTCACAGAAGTGCATCTGGGCTCCGGCACAAAGAATCACCGATATGAAATTTGCATGGCTTCGGTCTTACGTAACGTTATACAATAATTTCGCACTACGCCACCAACCTCTATGAGCTACGATTAAGGTGCTGATGTTAACAGCGACTAATCGCATTACAATATTTCTTTCAGAAAATAACACTGTTTATTTTATTGAAATAGTTAAAAAAGTTTTTTTCCTTTTTTAATTCCTTTCTTTTTTATAGATCAAAAGATTTAATGAGTTAATCAGATCTTTGCTCAAACTAGTTAATTGGGTAGATTCAGTTTTTAGGTTCCATTTAACCCAAGTATCTTGTGGTCTAACGGCGACCCTAACCCAGCCCAAAAACATACTATTGTGTTTTTGGAGGTTTCAGTCAACTTTGTTCTATTGTTCGGTTGGCCGTCTAAAAGTTCATCTCGCAACTGTCTTTAATTCGATTATTGGTTTGCAAGTTCCCTCCCACCGCCTTGTAACTCAAAACCAATTTAACCAGATTGTTTGACTGGAAATCTATGCCAACAGCCATGGCCAAACTAACTCCATTGTCAGTATGAAAATTTTGTACTTATGTCCCGTGGTTTTCCACATGTTTAAGGGCATTATGAACATTTATTTTATGCGAGGGAGAGTTTTGCAAGTAGCTGAGCCAATAAATTAAAAATGAATTGATTGTATCTAGACCTGGCAAAACAGACCTGAACCCGATAATCCAAACTGAATAACCCGGAATCAAACCCGAAAACTGAAAAACCGAATTGAACCCGAACACCCAAAATGATCCGGACCAAACCTAATGTATTCAGACCCGATACATATCCGAATCCGATTGAACCCGGACTGATTAAACCTGGAACCGATTAGACCCGAAATAGTTAGACCCAAAACCGATTAGACCCAATATTGACATCATAACAAACGTTGATGGATATACATATACTGACTCATTATTGCTGACACGTGTATATATACCCCCCTCCTATACACACAGGGAGGGGACGCTACACATAAGTAGGTCCGGCAAAAAATGACCCGACCTATTTTTGAACCAAAACCGGACCCGAAAACACTGGGTTTTGAACAAAGGCTTTGTTGACCGAACCCAAAGTTGATCAAACCCAATACGACCTGCTAAAAATGGATCAAACCTGACCGAACCCAAACCCGACATGACCGACCCGCTAATGTAAGAGTTTTTCAAAATCGTATACTAACTATGAAATATAATGTTATAAAAATAAGGTTATAATTCTATTTTTTTACTACTCGTTTTTAGTGTATAAATTTACATGTTCAGAAGTTTTTTTAATGATATTGCATAACCATCCTACTTCAAAAAAATTGCATTTTTTTAATTCTTTGTATTGATTTATATACCTAAAATTACTTTAGAATTTAAAATAAAATAATATAATAGATTTAATACATATTTTTTGATATTTTAATTTTATTTAATACGAAATACAAGTGTTAATATAAATTTAAAAATTTCAAAAACCAAGTCATAACCCGTTGGGTCGGCCCGAACCCTATGACATAGGGTTATGAACATACAGTTCTCAACCTGAACTCGAATTGACCCGAACCCAAAATACCCCCAACTTGAATTGACCCAAACCCGTCCTGACCGACCGATTTTCCAGCTCTACAAACAAGGCTAACATTAGGAATTCTGATACCAGGGAACTACATCTAAAACTGGTATAAACCTGAACCGGTAAAAACCCGAACCGGTATAAACCCGAACTGATATAAACTCGAACCAAAAAAACCTGAGCCAGAACTAAACCAATATCGGGAAAAAATCAAACCGAATTAGACCCGGAACCAAACTGAACTAAATCGGACCGACCTAAACTGATTATAACATATATCTGAAAGAGACACGAACTGGAACCAAACCGATTGACCTGATTGCAAAGTCTAGTCACACCGCAATATTAAAGTTAGAACGAGTCTATAAGATATTGGGTTACAATAGGTAATGGATTTGATTTAATTAAGTGTCTTGTGGCCCGGTAAGGTGGATACTAAATTTCATTTTTAAAGGAACATTATATTATTTAATCCTAGAAGCAGTAGGTCATTCAACTTGGAACGGTTAGAAAGGTTTCCTATTTCACAACTCTAAGAAGCCTCCAAGATCTACTACTACAACAACCTACCTAGTAAAACCTACAAGTGCGCTATAGATGATGGGTGTGCGCAAATGTTACCCATACCTAAACAATGTTAATTCCAACAAACATAAACCAAAACGAAAGGAAAAAGACATATCCAAGCGACATCATCCCAAATAAAAAGACTATAGAAATGAACTTTTGATCTATAAATCTTATCCAGAAACAAAAAGGAGTTAAAGGTTGAATTGAATTACACATCCATAATCCCAATGAAGAATCACAAAACACCCACAAGAGATTACTTGCAGTCAAAGGTTTTTATCCACAAAAGATGCTTAACATTTCCTGCATGGCTCTATCCCAATTTGTTTGTTTTCATTTTAGTATGTCCCAAATTATATTGTCCGTTTCCAGTTACTCCCAAAGTCCTAAATTAACTTTCCGCTTTCTTTTTTGGTTTGTCCCAATATAAACTTTTTATTCATTTTAAAGAATGCATTGAATGGTTCAGAGTTCTTTCTTCTCTACATAAATCTCAATCACACAATTTCACTTTTCCTTAAACTCTGTGGATAAACGTAAAGCTTAATTTGGTACAAAGGGAGTATATGGAAAGCATTATGTGGTTCATAATGTTTCTCTCGATTGTATAAATCGCAAACACGACCATCAATTTTCTAAAATTTGTACGGAATCAAATTGGGCACAATAAATTTAGACGGATGGAGTACTATATCAGGAGAAAACACAAGTTAACCATCACAGTTGTAGTATGCATCCTTGTGAAAAATCACCAAGATGCTCACAAGAACTTACTAGCTACTTAAGATTTAACCACGAAAAAAATGTTTAGAATAATATCAAGAATCAAACACGACATACCTTTCTGTATGCCAGTACATCAGCCAAAGGAATTGATAAAACCATCCTCAGAGCAACTTCTAAAGAATCAGCAAGTGCTCTATCCCCATATATCTCGAAAACTCCAAAATTGACATAGTCCCCACTGAGAGCTATCATATAAAAAATAGTGTAATAGTATTGCAAATAGAGAGCCCAGATGGTTTGTCAAAAAATAAAAAGAACACAGATGGCAAGAAAAAACACCATACCACATTCATTTTTACGTAGTAAAGGTCTCGATATACATATGAAAGAAGAATCACGTAAAAAATGTAATCCACATCAGTAGTAACAACTTCATAAATATACTAAATGGCAGTTATTCTTTTCATTTAGACATCTCCTTGATTCATAAGATTACTGGTTCAAATCTTTGCTCCATTTGCTTTTATGATATTCTATCCTCATATCAGTGCATACTTTTTTCTTCTAATAAAAGTTTGATCCTTTTTGTGAAAGAAATAGATTGTATTAAAGAATTAGAAAACTGTGAAAAGAGATTGTTAACTACACAAAAGAGAAAAAAAACAATTAGTCGAATAAGGTATGCATCTCAAACCCTTTACATATGTCTAAGTGAGGTATATAAAAGGTCAATGTGCATTGTATCACAGCAATGCTAAGATCAGGTGTTATCAAATCAAAATTGTGAGGGAGAACAAATGCTTGCTACTTGAGGTGAGGCTAGGAGGGATAACAGTGAGATCAGAAAGGAAATAGGTTACAATCGTTGTGATTTCACAGATTTTGCATATTTGTGAAAAGCTTTTGGGCCAGCTAGCATGGCTAGATTAATGAATTCGTTTAGTTAGATTTACAAATATTTCTGTGTTCCCCATGGGTGAAATAGGGTTAGCCACTGCCATCGCATGGCATCCAAACCCCTCTTTGCCACCACCATTTGAAAACACTGTATGAGAAGAAAATATTGTTCACTGAAGTGATAGTGTGCACAGAGGCTCCCTATTTATACCACAAAATATAGGCTATCTGGCTATGCTTATTATTATTAGGCTTAGGGTCTATAAACATCCACAGTAATAACATCATTTATTTTTTCATCACCTTATCTCAATCTTCAACTATGTTAGTCAGAAATATTAAATAAAAAATGTCAGACAATTGTTAAATTTATGGAAACAACCTCTCCATTTTTTACAGGGGTAAAATTGCGTTGATTTAGACCTCAAACTCCAACGAATTTGGGATTATAATGGGTTTGTTATTTCTGTTTGATAGTTAATTCTTAGAATTAGTTAATCTTATAAACTCATACAAGAAATCATAGTGTATAAGTTTTATTGTGAGTAGTCTTGTGTTGTCCTTCATACGAAGAAAAATGAGACGAGATTCCAAAACTATTATCATTTCACTTGAATGGAAAATATCATGAGTTACAATATGTTGAGATAATTATTACACTTGTACCAATACAAGATTGATATTGAGATCGACAAAGCACATCGTAAAAATGACCAAAATAATGTATTCCAAATCATATGGATAAGAGTTGATCCCTTATCCATATGTATGGCATGGTTATATTTTATGAAAAACCAGTTCGGATTGTACTCCCATAACTGGGCTTATGTGCTGAATTACTAACTCAATTCAATCGGCTTCCAGCCTAGTAATCCCATCATGATCATTATCTGTGATCACAATGCCGTCCACATAGACAGCAAGATAAATGACCTCATGAACTTTACATGTGTTGAATAAATGACCAAATTGTTGCAGAACTTTGCTTAACCATCCAAAGTCCAAACCATGCTAGAAGAGATGATTTCACCGTTTCAGGTCATACTTGTTTGTAGTTTGCATACAAAGCCTGGCTCTCATTGAGCAATATAAACTTTGGTTGGTGCACCATATGAATGTCATCCTAAAAAAACCCATGCAAAAAGGGCTTTTCTATTTGCATCTGACATAACGGCCAAAAAAATGGTAACCATGGATAAAAAGGGATGTACTGAGATTTTTTTGCTGCGATGCATTATCCAGTTGAACAGGTTATGCACCATCCCGGCTTGTACTTTGAAAATGGTGATTGGTCTGAGGGACTGTAGCTCCCCCGGAAAGTGGTGAGTGGTGAGTGACCAAGTTTGTAGAGTGAAGGGTGAAATCATTCTGGAGCTTTAGCATCAATTTCTTGCTGGTCTTGGACGTCCATTGCACCAGATAGTCAAGTTACTTGCTCACATTTTTCAAGAAATAAAAGAATGATAGGATAGTTTATGATATTTTTTTAAGATCAAAGCAGTATAGGGAAACATTTTCACAGTTATAATTAAAGTAATGAACCGCTTTCTTAATTCACTATGATTTGTGGGGTGCATATTGAGAAGCCTCTTAGAGTGGTTCTAGATATTGTTTAACTATTTTGGATATAAAAAAATTCATGTTGTCTTGGTTTATTTGTTCAGCAATAAAGATGAAATGCACGAGTTTCTTAGTTATAGCAAACAAAGCAGTCAAAGTTGTGCGCAGTGAGAACGGGACAGAATGCACTCGCATAAGATTCCTATGGGATTCTTATGGAGACCTTGTGTACATACACCACAACACTCAACAGAAAAAGATTTTAATGTGATTGAAGCAGACGTTGCCGCCTACAGAGGGTCACAGCAAGGGGGTCGCTTCCCCACACGATGCTGGTGAGACGACAGAAGATATCAATGTTGGCAGCGCGCAGGATTCATTGTGCCAACAGCGGGCCGAAGAGGTGGGCGGTGAAGCGTTGGGCAAGGGGTGCAAGGAACGTCGACCTTCTACTTTGTCATGCACACCAAAAATGAGCATACCTAATATCCCTACTCCTACAAAAATGAGCATTAGAAAAGGCCTATTAAAATTTGGGCCTTATACTCTGTGTACAAAGATCCAATGGTCTTTTAATGAATCTAGAGCAAATTATTTAACCATGGCTAAATGACACACACACACACACAGAGAGAGAGAGAGAGAGAGAGAGGAGGAAAAGGATTTGGAGGTCTGGAAGAGACGACGTGAAAAGGGAACATATCTGGAAGACGCTTCAGGATCAGCGAGAATGATGCAAGTCTTCTTCCTATCTTCTTCTCCTTTGTCTTCTCTCCAGCTCGCGTGTTCCCCTATGTTTTTAAAAAGGGAGACACATCTCCTCGGAATCTCCCTGGCGTTTCCAAGAGCCATTAACATATTTTTTTATTACCAAAACGCCAGCAGCCCTCTGAGAGACATTTAGAACTCTCTCCCACGTGTTTCAGCCTTTCCGAGGTCTCCAATATGGAAAGGGCAGCCACTATAGCGTTTCCGTGCAACACAAGAGCAGGTATGGAGCCTATTTGCTTCCTGAGGCTAAAAAGGATGAGAAATGGCATAAAATGCAAGCCGAGATAGATAATCTTGAGGCTAATAGAAATTAGAAAATGGACCTTAGAGAAGCTTCAACCTGGGAAAAAGTCATTGGCTCCAAAGGGCTTTACAAATCAAGTATCAATCGAATGGGACGATAAAGCTATACAAAGCACGACTGGTTCTCAAAAACAAACAAAAGAAATTGATTTCAAAGAAATATTTGCCCCAACAACAAGATTGGTCATTGTGCGAGTTTTTTATTGTTGCTGTGGCGAAGGGATGGGTGTTGCACCAGATGTATGTGAATGCCATCGTTCATGGGGGAGGATGTTTATATGAAGCCCCCACCACGATTTGAATCACTAAATAAGAATGGTGTGTGTCGCTTAAGGAAAACTTTGTACGATTTGCATCATTACATAAGAAGACTTATGGTAGGGAATGGTGTACCATAATTAGATGATTCCCTTAACCCTATATAGTCTGTGTGGGATACACAAATCAAAAAAAGAATATACTTCTGCCATCCAAAAAAATTCTTCTCATTTGACTTTTCTTAGACAACGTTTTTAAACATTGACCATAATATGCAGAAAAAATAAATTGCATTAAGATATGAACTTAATATCAATAAAATTTATTTTGAAACATACTTTTGAAATGTCAAGTTTTTATAAAATTAGTCAACATATAAATAATAGATATTATTGGTCAAAGTATTGCATTGAAATCTGTGAAAAGTCAAATGAGAAGAAAACTTCTGGACAACGGAGTACTATTCTTCTATATTCTACTCAAATCTTAACATTTAATCATGAGGCTAAGACAACTGAAATTTTTCTAGAAAACTAGAATGAAAAGAATATGACAATATGTTGATGTAAGGGCATATGGATACAAAAGTTATAGTCTTAACATAGTATTTGGATCACTAGTTTTGGATACAAATTATATATAACAAAGATAATTATAACAGATATATGCAATAATCTAAAGCTCCACTAGGGAAGCTAAAATCTGCTCAAAGGGGGCTATGAGCCTAAGAAACTTAATACTTTCAACATATACTAATAGCCAATAATACATTGGGGAGCACAAATGATGCCAAGTAGTGGATACTAGGACATAAATAATGATGCACTCCTTTCTACGTTTGTTCAATAAAGTTAGTGTTAACAAATCAAAGAAGTACATCCTTTGAAGTCTATTTTCTCTTCTCAAATGCTAATATGCAAATTATAATGTTCCCACTAAAGTGTGGTTAATTTTCAACAGTTGCTAGTAGTTTGAAAGATCTTAAAAGTTAAGATTGATCATACCTCTTATGAGAATAGTAAGGGAAATCCACATCCCCTTGTACTTGAACTGATACATATCCAACTGACTGGGAAGCGAAAGAATTCTTGATCCATAAACAACTATCAATTTGCTGACTTCCCTGAAAAGCAGTATCGCATTGGCAGATGATGTTTCAAAACATAAACGTTGGAACTTGTTCAGCACAATCTCAGCAACGAATTTGAGTATTGGTGTTGTGACCTGTATTATTCCATTGAATGTGATCACACAGAATTACAGTGGAACCAAACAAATGCATAATCTCCTAAGATAGAAGAAACATGAATTTCTATGGCTCAACGAGAACTATGTTAACCCCCAATATAAAGAAAAAGGGTAGTGATAACCACACCCTTCAAAGAACTAAATTCACCCCGTCAATTAGGTTCGCTCCATTATTTATACTCCCTCCGTTTGCAAAAAAGATTCCTACTTTGACTTGGAGCCAAAATAAGGAAGTGTAAAATGGTAGTTGACTTCCAATTTTGCCCCTGATGTGATGGGTAAAAGTAAGATGTGATGGATTGGTTATTAGAGAAAAAGTATGATGTGATAGATAGGGTATAAAAAAGTAAGGGTAAAAGTGGTTTTTTAATAGAAAGTCGAAGTGTTTTGTTGGAAGTGAAAAAAATGAAAGAGGAAGTGTTTTTGAGAACGGAGGGAGTAATTTTTTTATAAACTCACCCCGCTTAGGACATTAGTACTCTTATTAGAATAGTAGATAATGACTCTATTTTAGGTTTTTGCAATTGGGCCATCTTACATTTTTTTCCTTTTTTTCCGACAATGAATTACAGAGTACTCCGGTACTCCTATTATAAACCGTTCATTGCAAAACCTATTTTTTCTACAATTTTTGCTTAAATTGTTCTTGCTTCCATGTTTCTTTCATACGGAGTATTTTATACGATGAAATTAAGATGTTGGAAAGAATGGGTTGAGCCGGCGAGGTAAAAAAATTCGGTCGTTACTTTATTGGACGAGGAAGAATGGTGGATTGGTGGTTTCAATTCAGACATTTTTTTCTACGGTGTCATATAACTGTATAAGTATATAATGTTTTTGCACCGATGGTCATGTTTAAAATTTTATGATGACAATTGACCAAAGATGTATGTTAAAGTAGCTAGAATGGAAGATTGAATCAATGGAGGTGATACAGAGTCGAGTGGAAGATACAACTTCTCGTGTACCTTTCTTTTTATTGATTATACATTTTTTGCCAAAAAAGGGGTAAACTTGTATTTTACTATTTAGTCAACTAGTTAATGTAAAAGTGGAGTGAATTTAATGTTTTAATGGGGTGTGACTATCACTACCCAAAGAAAAAACTTCCATGAAAATGAAGTGTAGAATTTAAAAAATAAGAGATGAAATAACCAATCTGATCTGACCTCTGGAACATCAGCCCATACAGTGAGGCCTTTCAAGATAAGTGGCATATGCATTGGATATATCCACTCAAAGAGGAAACCATATGTCCTTCGACTGTATATATTCAGTGAAAAAATTCAAAAGCAAGTACTAATACAAAATCTTTGATAGTTAAGAAATCAGGCACAAAATGCATTACATTACAGTAAAACCAACCTACTAGTAGCCTGTGCAATTCCTCTAAGATCTCTCATCAATCCTACTAGAGCTTGTTTCACATCTTCAGAGCGGAATAATGAATCTGGTGTTGATTCCAGTCTCAGGAAAACCTTCAGCGAATCATTGTTACTCATAGAGACCACGATAGAGTTCGATACATAAATTTATCATTTATTAATATTAAGAATATATTGGGGGAGAGCATGAATTATACTGATTTGCAAATAATATCATTATAAGTACAAACATAATTAATCTGTTCATGCCTTCATGGTATCTGGAGGGGTGGAGGCTGTTGAATACTTGAATCAAGTGAAATGTATTGCATTTCTGATGAAATCAAAGTTTTACACTCTGTTAAATACTCCCTCCGTCCTACAAAGATCCTCCCGTTGCAGATTACGATGCTTGATTGAATTTATTTACAATTCAATTTATATGAAAATTGAGGTACATATACTTAAAAACTATATTATTTATCAAATTAGTAATGTAAATAAGTAAAGAAAGTGGTCAAAGTTTGACCGTGGAAAAATGAACGGGAAAATCTTTCTGAGAAAGGGTACATGTTCGGACTAGAGATAGTCAAAGATGTTTGGGGATGCTAGGTGGTTGTGTGGCTAAATTACATGCTAAAATGATACATCTCCACTGCCGCGTATTGGAGTTGGAGGAGAAGTGCGGAACAGGGGCTGTTAGGCTAAAGAAGTGGAAGAGGGCAGGTAGTCATGTCCTTCCTTTTAGGAGTACTTAGTCTACTGGAGAATAACTCCCTACAATTTAGGCTTTTAGTTATTTACCTTATATTCTGCATATCTCTATTTATAGGCTAGGTGATTTTTCCATTCAGGAGCACCTAAAGATTTGTGTTATTTTGAAGATTTGTCCCTCACAATGTGGACTTGTATAGAGAGTTAGCCCTTCTCGAATGGGACTCTTTTTTTTCTAATTGCAGTCATTGTTTTAGTTATAGTTTCAGGGTTCCTATCATTATATGGTCTAGAAATTAAGTACATCCAACAGAAGCTATGAAAGGAAAGAAAATAAGGAAGGGTTTTAACTTTTCCCCTGACGGAAAGAAGAGTAGAGGACATAATATACCTGCTGAAGTGGATCCATTGATGCTTTAAATTTCAAAAAGCTGTCTTCCATGAAGATCAACAAGCCTAAAATGTAGTAGAATGTTGTTCTGCAGCGAGAACCCCTGCAATCCCTTAAAAAAGGGAACTGTTCCCTCTGAATATTCAAAATGTGTGAGTGAAATGCAACATAAGCATCATATGTCAATGAAACCCAATCAACAGCAGAGCAAATGATTTCATGACTTATTGTTGTACTGACATTACAATTGGAGATTATTGTCTGAGTGGTATCCAATTTCAGAAGAAGCTTTGACGTCATATATCTGCATTATATTGAATACCAAAGAAGTGTAATAATTAAAATAATACCATTTCAATTCCATTAAAAATTACAACTAGTAGTGAGTGGAAAGGAAAAGTACTCTGGGAGGACTAACCCGGTGGCCATTTCCAATATGAGTTTTAAACTCTGATCAACAACTTCATCACTCTGTGATATGACATTGAATTAAGGAACGTCTGAAAGAAATAAGGATGAAACGAAGCAAATTTATCATAACAATCACCTCGACATAGCATTTAAGATTAGTCGCAATCTTCCCTATAATGACATTCAAGATCAGCATATGATCATGTAGCCCAAGAAGTTCTGACAATTTAGCATATAACAGCTGCAAGATAAACAGCGACAAGGATGTGAACAACCAAAGTCAAGCAATATCCAAACATCTGGCATGGGCTAGTCTAAAATTTTGTAATATACTGACCTTTGATGAATGAATTGCTTGGTCTCCAACATATGATCTTTTGAAGTTTTGAAAGAAGATGAGAATAGCCTTGTCAAGCCTTTGTTTACTTGTTTCAGTGTATCTCTGACAATTGCAAATAGAGAAAATAAGTAAAATGAAATGACAGTGAGAACGAAGTAAAAACACTCTCATCCAGGCTAGGCATTGTGAGAGAAAGCAAAGTGATAATGTCAAACACAATGTTGGTGCCAGAGCAGACGAACATGACAACCACAACTTTAAAGTACTTGTCTCCACTATAGCACAATGTTAGGGAATATAATGCACCTGAGTATGTGACCCACTATCGGTAATGTTTATCAACCGAAGTACACGCGCTGAAATCTCAGCATCATGAATTTCCTGTGAATCCCCACTAATATACAAAAAAAAGAAAAATAACAAAGTGTTGGATGAGTAAATAGATGACTAACAAATATGTTTGATATATCTCAGTTATAAGTAGACATATACCTGTAACCACTGAGTTGCTTTGTCTTAACAATAGCTGCAACTATATGCACTATCCAAGCAAGTTTAGTTTCAACAACAGAAATGGTTTGGAGTTCAATTGCTTCCTGATTCCAATAAAAAGGTAAAAATCGTTAAAACATGCATGAAAAAGCTTTAACCAACTTCTAGGAAATTAATACTAGCATCTAAATACCATATACAACTGCAGAAGTGGATCTGTAATCTGTATAATATATGCGCTGAAGCTCTCATACTGCACTCATGAAACCATGTTCAGTAGATATATCATCATAAGAGCTAAGCAGACTGAATTTAGTTTCTAATTCAGTACTAGTATTCTATTTTTGAATCTTAAAATGACCTGAAATCTACAAAGGTAAGGAAGGCAATCAAGCTGCTCATGTAAAAGCTCCACATTATCAAGAGGATTGTCCGAAGGATCAGAAACTCCAGCCTGAACCAACCAAGCAATAAATTGTAAGGCAAAAAGGTGTTAATAAGATGAGATAACACTATGTGAGTATCAAAATCACCTAACCTGAAAAGTACTGAATCTTGATGTGACAAAACACCTCAGAATCTCAGGTACAAACTCATTAAGAAGGCTTGGAATGTCTCCCTTCAAATATGATAGAGATGACACCAATCTAGACCAGAGCCCAAGGAGGTAGTATATACTCCCACTGGCCCACTGATCAGGATAACAATATCACATTAAATATCATAGGGAAGATATTACACAATGTCAAAAATATGAAAAGATGATATCCAAAAAAAATTCAAAGACCTATGTAAAATTGGCAACCTGCCACGACTGTAGAGATTTAAGAGTGAACTCAGCCACTAGCCGTATCCAATCACCATAGCATTCAACACTTACAAGCTCTTGGAGCTGCATTATAATTACAAAACCACATCAACAGAAAGCATATGACAAGCAATAATATAGAACATGAAAGGGAGCTAAACTTACATTCAATAGTCATCCATGAGTTCTCATTATCAAATATTTAAACCACTAAAATTTAAGGGAAACTGCTATAGGACTAGAACAAAAATCACCTTAATATACGGATTTGAAAATTGTCACCTCTTGTTTTGTAGAACTTTTGACGTAGTTTTTTATTATGAAATTTTTTTTCTTATCGATATACCGATTTGTAAATAAAATGATTTCAAAAAGTGAGATATTTCTCCTCGTAAACCCCAATTTGTAATCAAATTGGGGACGGAGGGAGTATGTCTTTTGGAATGAGTCTTTCTACCTTTTCTAGGTAGGGGTAACACATCCACCCCCAGACCCTTCTTTTGGGATTTCAGCAAGTAGGTTGTTGTTTAAGAAATAATTGATAAAGAAGACGGATATGACAAAAATGTGTATATGTTACAGTGGATGGATGGTGAGACTAGCAGGACAATAAAAAATTATGAAGAAAGATGGGAGTGGCCGTACACACTATTGAAAATAAAAGGGGAACAGGTTGTGTTGGTTTAGGCACATGCCGCACATCAGTCTTCAAGACGTAGGAACCTCGATACAAATAGTGAAGTCCTAGATTGTGAATGGCTAAAAAAGAAGTTAGCACAAACCAAAAATAACTTAAAGCACGGTGTAACAAGTTCCCTGTGTTGCTCTCTTTTGACGAAGTCAGGGGTGTCGGCTCTAAACCATTTTGGCTTTTTAACATGTGGATCAAATACCCGAGGTTTGGGGATATTGTGGGGAGAGTTTGGGGGCAGTATGTTTATGGAACGAAACAATTCAGACTACGTTCAAAGCTTTAAGTATTTGAAGGCCCCGCCAAAGAGCATACACCAGCTAGAGTTTGGCCAGATTTCAGCAAAGGCAAAAGCTGAAAATGAGAAGTATAAACCCCATAGTTATCACGTCGCCAAGGCGAGTCGCGGCGCCAGTGTAACCCCATGACGCCTAGGCGTCTAGGCGCCCGCCTAGGCAACTATAAGGCGACTAGTAGTAAATGATAATTGCTATACATTAGTAACACTAATATAAATATATCACATTATATGTTGTAGATAAAGTTTAAATTTCAAATTTAGCAAAAGTTTAACATCCAAATGATAGAAATTATGTCACAACAAAGTCTCAAAAACCCTCAAGAAAAGTAGAATTGAAAAAGTCATTGCTTGACAACCAAGTCTCAAAAATCTTCAAGAAAGGTTGAATGAAGAACGCCATTGCTTGCATTTTGGACACTATGATAAGGGGAAGGTGGTGCTTGTCCAAAGTCATCTTCCACATCTCCATCATCATTTGGCAACACATCTGGCTCACCATGACCATCACCATCTTGAGATTCTTGAGTAGGCAATGGTGTTCCGGAAGTAGACCTTCTTTGGCGTTGATAAGTTGCTACATTAGAACTTGCACCTTGAATAGCTTCATTAGTACAACCTCTCCTCGGGGCATTACGTCCTTTAAGGTTGGTAGAAGCACCCATAGCTTCATCAACTGTAGTCCAGAGAAGATCTTGGCCCGGATGAACACCTTCATTACTGACCCATTTGTTATCCTAATGAAAATCCTCATAAATCAAAGGGTTAAAATCAGTTCATTGTTCTTGGCGCTTTTGAAATCTTGTTGCAATCCTACGATTATACTTGATGAATACCAAGTCATTCAACCTTTTATGCTCCAATCGATTTCTTTTCTTGCTGTGGATCTAAATAAAATAAAAAAATCACATGCTAGTTAATTTTTATGTTTAAAGTTTAAAGTTTTACTAGACTATCAACATTGCTTTGCTTACGTGTTCAAATGTGCTCCAATTGCGTTCACATCCAGAGGAAGTGCAACATAGTCCAACAATACACATCGCAAGAGTTTGGAGTCTATAGTAAAGCCACCAAATGCATCCCACCAATCAACTACAACCCATGAAAAAAGCACTTAGTGTTATAATATTAGTATACTACATTGGAATTTATTGATGCACTTACTTGGGCTCTTTGGCTTTTGTTGGTTAATTGCAAGTTGTTTTGCAAAACTCCCTTGCAATTTGTCATATTGGGTCACCTGATCCATTATTTTTCCTTGTAAAGACTCATCAGGGATCATCTTCTCCAACACATCATTGAATATCAGGGATCATCTATGACGAGAAGCCGCGATTGCATCTTTTTTCTTAAGATCAAAATATTTGGACGGATTTAAAAATAAAGCCGCCGAATATAAAATCACTCCCATCTTGTCTGCCCAACTATTCTCAATGATCTCCATGACTTTTCTCAATTTTGTTGGCTTAGCTTGTGAAGCATGTGTGATTTTGCTTTTAGCTAGATCCATAGCCAACAAAAGTTCTGACATAGCGGGCTTTTCATCAGCATCAACAATCCTCAATACCAACAAAAGTGGGTGTGTTGCTCGCAAACAATCCTCCACCGTCACCCAAAAACTAGATGAAAAAATAAGGAAAATGCTAAAAACCCCCCACCCTTGCTACCACTCATGCCCCCCCTACATAAACATGTGGTAGGGAGGCAAGAAAATTAAAATTAGAGGGTGGGTGGAGAATAGGTAGAGATAAATATGTGGTAGAGAAGTGGGTGGAGGCAAGGTTGGTAGCAAGGGTGGGGGGTGTGTATCATGGTCCAAAAAATAATGTCACTTACTCTTTTCCCTGCCTCCGAAAAGACTCCACATGAGCCTACAGTGCGTGATTTCAGGCCAATTTCCACTTCAAACATGGTCTATAAGGCCATCACAAAAATCCGGGCCCAACGCATTGAAAGCCTTCTCCCTGTTCTTGCAGACCGTGCTCATGCAGCCTAGGTGGCCTATGTTGGTGGTTGTAGTTTGGTGGATAATGTTCTTTTGGTTCAGCAACTTGTTAAAGGCTGCACGGTTTGTTGTACTTCTCCAAGTGTATGGTTAAGCTTGACATCACTAAAGGGTATGACACTGTCTCTTGGGAATTCTTACGTCTGTTATGCTAGGGGTGGGTTTTATGTTGCACTTTGTGGGGTGGTAATGAAGTGTCTTAGGCTCTTAGCACCATTTCCTTCTTTATCTCCCTTAATGGAGGCCTTCATGGTTTTTTCAAAGAGAAGAGGGATTTGTAGCAAGCAGACCCTATGGCACCCGTTGCTGAATGTAAGAACTACTGACCTGCCTTCAACTGCCCCACAGTATCGTCAGTTGAAGACTACTCGTTTCGCCTTTGGGGGTGATACTATGCTTTTCTTCTAGGGATAAGTCACGTGTCTGTACAGGTTTTAGTGGATGCACTGCATGAGTTTTCATAGTCCTCTGGCCTTCATGTTAACCCCCAAAGGTCTAATATCTTTTTGGCAGGACTAGTAAGTGACAATCGTGAGAATATCATTGGCCTAGTTATTTACCCCATGGGAAGTCAGTGTCGACAGGTTGAAGATTACTCATTTTGCCTTTGTGGACGATATTATGCTATTGTCCATAGGTGAAGTCACATGTCTGTACGGAATTCAACGCTACCTTGGGGTTCCTTTGGTCTCACAAAGGGCCAAAGATGCTGAATATGCACCGTTAATCAAGCAGATTGATGGTGTCATCAGGGCTTGGAATACGAAATTTATGAGCCGATCATTATGAAGTAACACGTGTTACTTGAGTCAGGAGCCTCTTGGAAACAGCCTCCCTACTTTCGAGTAGGAAAAAGGTCTACGTACACACAACACACACCCTCCCACACCCTACTCTCGTGGGATTCAACTAGGTTGTTATTGTTGCATTATGAAGTAACGCGGTAGAATTCAAAATTTAGCTACCAACTTTATGTTCAAAGAGGGTCTTTATGAGAAGTTTTACATACAATAACCATTCAACAAAGGGAAAAAACAGTAAAAGGAATAAGCATAAAGTACATTTGGTGAGTGGCAAAGAGCCACCCTATGTCGATGTCGTTCATACATGAGATACAATGTCTATAAACAAGAGCAATAGGGATGGGTATTTGTACTGTGCAAGTAGACACAAGGTGGGGAAATTGGAGTCATGATTCTCTAAAATTAGAAACGAAAAGGAAATGCTAGTTTTAATACTACGGCTTGTATGCTTGAGTTTAGACAGCAATATTAAATTTAAATAAGGAATCCTTCAACTTTTACAAATGAAAGAAAAAAGAGCTTATTGTTGATACTTGATACTCCCACCGTCCCTAAAAGATTGCCACAGTTTGACTTTTTGGTCAAACTGTCGCACCCTTTGACTACGAATTATGAAAAAAGTATATTTAGTTATAATATAAATTTAGTAAAATTAGGTTTATTCTAAAATATAATTTTGAATTATCAAATTTTTTAATATTTAATTGTTCGAAACTATATTCAATTCGTGGTCAAAGGGTGCCACAGTTTGACCAAAAAAGTCAAATTGTAGCAATCTTTTAGGGATGAAGGGAGTACTGTGGCCGGAACACGAAAGATGTAGAGTACCTGATAGTTTACTTTAAAGCGTCCAAGAAGACGACAAAACTCATGGTAATTATCATGATCTGTAAGCCCTGTTCCAGACAGTGAAGATAATTCAATGCCCGCATAAAATTACCCAATGTGTGGAGTGTTAAAGCATATACAAGAGAACCTTATCTCTATATAAACGTGTGCAAGTGTATGCACGCATTGCAGATGGTAATACCTATTTATTACTTTTATTTCACCAGCTTATCTGGATAATATAAATTAACACCTAATGGACTGTTAAAAATTATTTGTTCTCTTTTACCCTTCTCAAACTACCCCTTGTATTTTTCCCTTTCTCAGTTGGCATTGACTGGTTGCAGAATTGAATAGGAAGAAGCACTCGAGTTCATGGCTGACGGTTGGCGATGATGGCAGGTGTGAAGGAAGAATTCTAATTAAAAAGATAATGAAATCAAATGGTGCATTGGTGCTCTCTTCATCTATTGCTTTTGCCAAAGCTGGTGGTGGTGACGCTTGTATTTCACAAGCACAAGAATTGTTGGTTTATTTTGGCCGTTGAAACTTTGACTAGAAAAGTGAGCTAATGCACCAAGTATTAAAAAAACTCATTGTATTTATAAAAGTATTAAACACTGGATGAGCCCAATCCATTTTTGCTAGGATTACACAATGTACGTAAGAACACGTTAAACATACTCTCAATCTCCTTCATGCTTAGGCATATGATTACATGAGCCCACATTATTCAAAGTGTATCCTACTCTAAGACCTCTAGGAAACTTTGTTAGAGTTTCTGCATAGGTAAAACAAGACCTGACAATCGGTTTTATTTGTATGTATGTATGTATGTATGTATGTATGTATGTATGTATGTATGTATGTATGTATGTATGTATGTATATGTATATATGTGTGTATATATATAGACACACACACATATACACTCGAAGTTGGAAAACTTAGCCTCGTTCCAAAGTTCTGACCAAGCAGAAAAACCACAACCATGGAACACATCATAACAACAAAGAGCTACATTGGTCGATATCGGGAAAAGGCCAAAAAAAGTCATGCCGAGAATCACGACATTCGATGATCACCCAGGCTTCATAATCTGGGAATGATCACTTTCAAGCACTTTACATTTCTCGCAGTTTATTTTCTTTCATTGTTTTTCTTTCCCTAGGGGTTTTGACCTAGTCCTCCCCTATTGTACTCATCTTTATTTCAATAAAAATTTGCCTTTGATTATATTTTTATATATATATATATATATATATATATATATATATATATATATATATATATATATATATAAGTTTTGGATCAAATGAGAAATAAAATCTGAAAGAAATAAGAATGCATCTCGTGCAAAAGATTTAAGATCTAAGGGCTTGAAAAAATTCAAAAAAACTGAAAGTATATTTTAAAACGCGGTGGCATTATGGTAAATAAGTCGAACTTCACTAACAGTGCCGAAAATGCACTACCACAATGTTAAAATGCATCGTGGCGGCCTAATTCTCACCTGAACCGCCCACTATGTATGTGTGTGTGTGTGTGTGTATGTCTATATATATGTGTCTATATATTTATATATATGTGTGTGTGTGTGTGTGTGTATGAGGGGGAGTAAAGTTACAGACAAAATTGACAACATTCATACAACACTCCAATTAGGGTACCTACGGTGCTCTGTTCGTAAAATTGGTTGTTCCTACACCCCCAAACCCCAGCCCCACCCTAAAAATGCCGATTTGGCAGGCCAAATCAGCATTTTTAGGTTGGGGGCAGGGGGTTTAGCGAAAGGTATGAACAATCAATTTTACGAATAGAGCATCGTAGTCCATAGCTACCCCAATTGGAGTGTTGTATGAATGTTGTCAAATTTTTTTGTTGTCAATTTTTTTGTTGTAAATAAAGGCCTCCTCTAGTAAGACGAGGCCAAGCTTGGACCCTTGCCTTCGCTCCTCGGTTATGGGCCTCACATGCTTCTTCAAAGCTTATAGAACATAAGCACATGTTACGGGCTTTGGTCTAGAATATTTATCTACTTTTTGACTTTTTGTAGTCAACCAAGACTAATCTTTGACTTTTAATTAAATAAAAATTGCTTGGTATATTAATTAGATAAAATAATATATTGAAAATATTTTACAAGCTAAATCTAATAAAATTTGTATCAATATCTAATATAAATTTAATTTTAGTAATGGTAAAAATTTAGCACATTTGACTATAAAGAGTCAAAACTTGACAAATACTCTAAAGTGTGTGTGTCTAAGTGTGCAATGACGGAAATGACAAAATGTGAGACAATCAAAAGCAAGGTGGCATTTTAGTACGCCTTGTGATCCCATCTCTGTGATGATATGATGATGATGATTATGCCCTTGCAGAAAATGACTTTTATGCAAAAGACTATGATTGATGAGGACTTTTTGTCATTCCCCATGTTACGGTATTTTGTTTTGAAGTTTTTATATGGATATTTACATTTTTGGATGTTATGGCAATAATTACTTATTTGGATGTTATGATTTTGATTTATGGATATATATAAAAATTTAAGTTATACATTTGTAAATTTTACATTCAAAAATTAGCTACTACTAATCTACTATAGTATCTTACGATGCTCAAATCTACTAAATGTGTCCTTATTTAATATTAATGACTTAAAAAAGATAAATATTAGTATTCCCCACCGAAAATGACATTTTGTTTCTGCCAATATAGGATTTTGCACGTTGTCCGAAACAGGAAAACTTTTTGGGGAGGGAGTGGATATTAAGTTGTTTCAGTTTTCAACCGATAGATTCAAATCCTTGATTAAAAAAACCTTTCATGCCTTGAAATTGTAGTTGACCTATCTTTTTGAATATTAAACAAAAACAAAATATCAATAATGAATAGCAATGCTCTGATGACTTTCATTTAGGAACGTAAAACTCTTAAAAAGAATTGTAAGATTGCAATATACTCACCTTTGCCTGTTTGTAGAATATCTTTGGTTCCTTTCATCAGTTGTGACAAGTATTTCATCCTAGATGCATCATTTGAAAAGAGGGATCTTCTAATAGAAGTAAGGCGAACCAGACACTCCAAAGCCTTCATAGTAAATTTAAGAGTGGTTAACTTTCAAAATTAATTAACACGGCATCAAAATTTTATGGTGTTATTTGAGAAGCTCCTAGAAGGAAAAAAACACATTTCCATAAGACATTTTTATACTTTAGCGTTTGTCAAAAAGTTAGGAAATTGCATATTTCTATGTTATACAGAGTACTTCTTTCAACAAGTGAACAAAAATATTAACAAATTTATCTCCTACAAAAAAATTTATTTAACAATACAACCATAATAATACATACGTAGTAAGTAATAAAATGATGATGTTGATGATGATAGAAATATAGTTAGAGAGGCAGAGGAAGCTATGGGCACGCTATTGGGGGGGAGGGAGAAGAGCAACATGCCATACGAGATCCTCATAGAGTTTTGGAGATATGATGGTAGATAAGGAATTGAGTGGTTAAGTTATTTCATGTAGTTTTTTAGGCGGCTAAGATGCCTGAGAAATGGGGTTGTTTACGATGATTATGATTTATAATAGCAAGGGTGATATCCGAAATTGCAATTATTATAGGATAGTGAGTATGAAGATTTGGGAATGGGTAGTCGATACTTGAGAAGAGGCTAATAAAGAAGGTTGATATTCTCGATAACCAAATTGGGTGATCCACTACTGTAGCCACCTACCTTTTGAAGAGGCTAATGGAGTATTACAAAGCTTGGAAAAACCTTCACATGGTGTTAATTAAATTCGAGAAGGTGTATGAGAAGAAGCTTTTAGGGAGGTTTAATGGAGTGCTTGGAGTTTCTAGGAGTACTCGTAACCCAACATTGCCATTAGTGTTTATTTTATTGAACTGAGGGTGTTACCAAAACAATCTCTCTTCCTCTATAGGTAGGGGTAATGTTTGCACTCGCTCATCCTCCCCAACTCCACTTGTGGGACTTCAATGGGTTGTTGAAGATTTGCAATGATGGAGAAAAGAAAGGAGAGGTGTGTATATAAACCATAATTTCCTAAAGTATTGATTACAGTGGTTAACCTTTTACATGATTTTCCACATCATTATTGTGCAAACTTAATCAGCATGGATATCATAATTATAATTTTCATTTACTTCATGTAGTGTAAAACCAGAATGATGAGTCATCGTGTATGATAATAAAGTCCTTTGGGGAAATGAATTTGTGCAGTAAAGGGAATCAATAAAAAAAGTCATAAAATTGGGGATCACTAATATAACTTAGAAAAGTTCAAATCGCTCAATAAATCACAAAAGAACTATAGAGGCTAAATATAATGACTTGGGAAAGTGCATGAACCTAATAACAGGTTATTCTAAAGAAAAATAGATTCTCAATGTTTCAAAGGTGATTGAACCATAGAATTGAAGCAACAAAACAAAAAAAGAGTGAAAGGACTAGCACATAATCATGTCTAAGTTTAGGTAGAGATTTGTCAAAATTGATGGCTGGCTGAAAGAAAACTAACGAACAATCATGGAGTGGAAAAATAAAAACTACATGAAAAGAAATGGATAATTTAAATTTCGTGCATTTAGAATAATTGTTAATAACATAGTTTTGGTACCTCAATCAAATATGCCACATGACTACTACTAACTGAATTTTTTTAAAGATATACTCCCTATGCCATTCTGTTCAAAAATAGATGTCCCTTTCAGCACAATTTCAATGTCTGTATCAAATCGTTTTTAAAGAGTAGGAAAATAAAGGGTAAACTATTAAAACCAATGTTCTAAATGGCTTATTGCATATATGTGGCATTTGTTTCAAGTCGGATTGCCTAACAAGCCCCATGGCGTAGGAGGCGTAATTGCGTAAGCCTCATTTTGGAAGTACCAAAGTATCCATAAAAGATCATAAAAATTGAAGTAGAACATTATGAATTATTAATAACATAATTAACATATAAAAAGTATATTATCAAAGTAAAATGTCTCAAATGCAACAATGTTTAGCATGACATAATACAAAATATGAGCCAAAGACCATAACACATATTTGCAAGTCAATTCCTGTCATTGAGTTTTGGATGTTGAGTCTACACCATATTGTCATGTTGGGTTCGACATAAAAGACCCCATGCACACAACAGAGGAAAAAATAGAAAATTACTAAGAAAAATTTTTAGGAGAAAAGTAAAATAACAAATTAGTAAAAAATCCACATACCAGAAATAACAAAACACAACACCAAGCTAGCTATGAACAAGGCCACATAAGTCGCAGTAGAAGAACAAAAATACGAAGTCCACAAAATGCAGCTTGTAAGCAAAAAACTGGGTGAGAGAAAAGACACAAGAAAAGTTATAATGCGCAGCTCATAGGCGTTGGCCTTTGCACATAAAATAAATACCTGGATTGCTGTTGGATGAAGATAACAAGCAAAGGGTGAAGATGGAACAGCATTGGAATCGAATTAATAGAATAATAGCACTAGGGGTACAAATGCTAATCAGGTACCATGTACTTTTAAATTTTGTTAATTGAAAGGACTAATTTAACCTTAAACTTAGATTTTTTTTTTGGGGGGGGGATTGCGTATGCCCCATAGGCTATCTACAATCGCTGAGAAAACTGCATAGTGGGTGGCTAGATCACCGTGGGGCGGTCCTTTCCCCAAAAAAGACCTGAGGAGCGCCATGAGGAAATTAGTGCTTTTCAAATAGGAAAAGTGGATATTGCTACCAAAAAGAAAGTATAACAAATAGAGTGCAGCATGGGGATTGGAACTTAGTTTAGAAGCAAAGAAATGAACAAGGGAGAAACCAAAGCCTCTTTCCGAGCAACATCAAGTCTAAACCTATGAAGCAACCACCCTTAGTGCAAGACCCACTTGAAAAAAATATCAGAAATACATAAGTTTCTCACCTCCTTTGATAGGTTCGATTCATTGATTTCGTAGTACTCAAAGAATATTTGTACGGTTGAGGGGTCCTCGATGACTTGTTTCCATGCAAGCGGCAACTGACAGCATTTAACGTGGTACAATTTAGAGTAACTTCAAATGTACATAAAGGAGCTGTTACACCATTGAAAGATACTAAATAGTACCGGAATATTGCTAAAATCTTCTGAACTTTCATCAACTGTAGTTCCCATAAAATCAAAACATAAACACCTGAGGGATAGTGAAATGGCCAGTCCTTGTAACTTGCCACCAGCTGCATAAAGCAACACAAATGGAGTATAATTAAAACAAATGGAAACATAGATAAAATGTAAACAAGAACTCAAAAAAACAGGCATTGGATTAATAACTGGGGAATCTACAATGTACCATCATTCTTCAGTTGACACAATGAAGTAAGGGATATTTGAAATATTTGAAGAAGTGACTGGTCTCTGAAGGAGCAAGCCACCCTTCGATGTTGTGTTGACGGCAACCCAGGACTTGGCTGAATCATTTGTAGAAATATTTAGCAATGCACCAGTGGAAAAAATATTAGGCTTTGTATTGCTTGATAAAAAATAATAAGCAAGAAAATTCGAAAACAGTTAATAGGACTGAACTTTTAGTAGGATAGGTAATGAATTTAACTAGGGAAAATTTAATAACTCAAGGAGAAAATACTACCAAACAGAAAAGATAAAAAGAAATTCCATTTGTCTCAAAATGTAAAATGTATGACCTCGGGCGCTACCAACTCTTCTAAAACCAATTGGTGTTAGAAGAAGCGCATACCCTAGCCTTATAGTGCATTTAGCACCCACAAGTGCCCACAACATTTGATTGTGACTTGACCCAGAAAGCCTCCGCCACGGGACATTTGATGCACACATGGCCAACATAAAGTACATGTGGGTTTGACACTTTTTTAGAAGATAAAATGTGTTGTTTGCAAGTTTGCTCTTTGAAAGTAAAAAAGTGAATGGGTTCCACCAAATAAAAAGTTACAAGGATATCTGAAATGATAAGCTAGAAAAAGTGAAAAGTGCCTAGAGGCTACAACCGCAACAACAAACCTATTATAACCCACAAAAAGTAGAGTGGGGTGATTAGGGTCTAGGAAGTAGAGAGACTGTTTCTAAGAGACCCTCGGTTCAAACATTTAAGAGCTAGACAAAGTACACACAGCACAAACAAAAGTACAGCCACAGACCTAAAGCAAGCACACATGCACAAGATATAAACTAAGGCAAAAATGCACAAGCACACACTACAAACTAAGACCCAAAGGTATACCTAACTACTCGAATCCTACATCTCAAGACATTCATATCTAAGGTCATACCTTTGGTAAGATCCTAAAGTCACAAGTCATGATCAATCACAAATTCCCAACTCTAAGTCCACCTCAAACCCTTCTCATGCCCACTACTGCAAGCTTCTTGCATCTCCTCACTAGGACCTCTGCACTTTGCATTATTACCATAGATATCAAGGTGCAGCCTAGGCATCCTAGCAGTCAGCTCCTCTCGCCATGGTGTATCACCTCACCTTATTTCGAATCTCTCGCCTAAGCGTCACCAAGCTTCGCATAGCCTAGCCTTGCCTCACTTTGGTCTCTGCTTTTAAGAATCCTTTATTCCTTTTAGTCAGTGACTTTTTTCATACTCAAAATTTACTTTGTACTAAGAATTCACATATTGTGTTTTAATCATATTTCGTATTTCATATTCTTCTTTTTTTCATATTATGGTGTGTTTATATTTTTTTAAGTATGTGTAATTGAAATTTTAATTAGGTTTATAGAGCATGCATGTTTAAATTTAAATTAGCGTTGCTTACTGTTACTAATGTATACCAATTTAAATTTTTTATGTGTTGCAGCCTATACCTGGCAAGATTTATTCGATTTGGATATCTTTCGTATATGTGTTATAATTGGTTTTGTATAGATTTAATTCAGTTTTGTACATTTTCATGTTTTGGTTTGGTTCCAAATTAGTTCAAATTCAATTTAGATATAACTCAGGTAAATCTGCACTATATAGTACTAAAACATATAACCTTTCCTAATGTAGTACTTAAACTTTTTTATTCCCTCAATAGTACTTGAATAATGTCTAGTGGCGGAAACAATGTCCGATGATGGTGGACATTTAGTTTGAACAATGTCTAGTGGCGCTGAACATTTACTTAAACAATGACCAATAGACATTGAATAGTGGTACTACATTGAGAAATAAAAAGATATGGTACTATATTGAGAAAGTCATTATGTTTTAGTACTATTAAGGTAAATTCGCCATAAATCAGTTCAGATAGATCTTGGTTTGAGAAATATTTTGGTTCTGATATATTTCATTTCGGTTGGGATATTTTTTTTATATTAAAATTTTAAATTCTACGTTTCTTTTTTTATCATACCGCATTTATCAATCTATCATCAATTCATTATCTCACATTATTTTACCTTTTTCCCAACTATTTTGTTAATTTTTTTTCTTTTTTTCACTTTTTCCTGCAATTTTAGTTTGTTTTGCCCAATATTTTTAGTTTAAATTTTTTACTCCCTATTTCCTTTCTCAAATTTCTCCTTCTCTAGGTTTTCTATCCTGCCAAATCTCAATCATATCCCAAAATGAAGGTCAAAGTGTGAAACAGTTTTATAACAAAAAGTCCAGTTGTAAAAAAAAATTAGGACATGAGTATCTAAATATATAACAAATTAACAAACCTACTCAAGTGGTAAAATAGAATAAAATTAATTGAAATTAAATGAATGTGGTTATGTTTTTGTGCACATAATTATAACATGGAAACTAAAAAGGATAATCGATTACGAGTACCATCGACTTCGGGTATTAAAATTTAAAAGTTTTGGATATTATCGATTTTGGGAAAAATCAATTCGGTTCTAATGAGTTTTGAATCTAAACTGGGTATGGATATATATAGTTCTGGTTCGGATCGGATCATTCCGGGTTTCTTGTTATAGATCGAATCTTTACTTTTCGGCTTCAAATGATTTGGTTCAGGTAATTGATTCTGATTTTGTTTTATCAGGCCTACCGTCGCCTAGTCCTCTAGGCGTCATGGCATAACACTGGCATCGCGCCTTGCCTTGGCAACGTAATAAATACACTTATTACGTGCTCAACCTACCTCAGTGCTAGCTTCTCACAACTTATCCTCAACAGGTTACAACACACTTATTCGAATAACCTCCTTTGGATTTTATCCAACCTCATATTACCACGCATCCACCTCAGCATCCTCATCTCTCCCACTTGAAACTGACAAACATGAGTTTTCTTCATTGTTCAATACTTTGCTTCGTATAGTGCTCCATATAACATAGCAGATCTGACCACTCATTCAACTTTTCTTTCATGTTCGTCAATATCTTCTCATCGCAAGCAACACCTAAAGCTCACACTCACTTTGCCCAAGTGGCTCCAATACAATGGACAATATGTCCATCTATCTCCTCATCTGCTTGAGTGACCGAACTAAGGTACCAAAACTTGTCTCTGTTAGACACTTGGCGTGAATTAAACATTAATACTAATTCTGACTAAGCCGCCAGACCACTGAAGCAAGTTTCCATGTATTCAATCTTGGTCCTACTCAATCTAAAACCTAAGGATTTTAAGAACTAATGTCACACTTCCAACTTATCATAGTCCCTCAGGTCTCCCAACAATGAGTACAATCATCAACAAATAGCATGCACAAAGCCTCAAGAGATGTTGCATAATATCTAGAACCAATGCAAACATGAAATGATTAAGGACAGAAACCTCATCTCTATTGGAAGTCACCCCAACAACCTTCACCATGGTCCTCACCCCAACATACATGTCTTTGACCACACGAATGTAAGCAACTAGTACCCCTCCAATACTCTAGCCACCTCCACAAGATCTCCTTTGGAACCCTATAGTATGCCTTCTCGAAGTCAACAAATACCATGTGTAGGTCCCTCTTCTTGACCCTATACTCCTCTATTCTCAACCGGCCACGCATGAAACCAAATTTATTCTAAAAAATGCACACCTCATTCTTGAACCTAGACTCAATGATATGTTCCTGAACCTTCATGGTTTGATTATGTAATTTGATGTCTCTATACGTTTCGCAACTCTCGATATCACCTTTTTTGTACAATGGGATCACCGCACTCTCCCTCCTTAGTTGCCCTAAAAATAGCATTGAAAAACTTCTTAACCCAAACATGCTCAGTATTGTACACAATCTTCTAAAACTCCACAGAAATGTCATTTAACCTCATGACTCTCCCCCTCTCATCTTGTGAATCGCCTCGCCATCTCTTTTTTACTAATGTGTTGCTATGTAGAAGCTAAAATGAAAGAAGCGCTACGTAGTCACATAGTGAAACTCAAAGAGAGGCACAAGGTGGCTTAGTTGAGACAAAGGTACGTAATCGCTCAAAAGATTCATTAAAGACAGTTCAACTCATTCTATCATAAGGTAAATAGTCACTTAGTTTCACATAGTAAATGAATCCCTATTCCCTATAACTCAAATAGACATATATTCGTTCGACTCCTTAGAGACTAGTGGATTTCACTCACATAATGAATATATTAGGTAAGATAAAAAAATCAATTCCTTAAGTCACACAATGAAGTACACAGTTAGGATGTGAGGTAGGGCGTGTTTAAGAAATGGAGTTAGTGCTCCAACTCACCTAGTACATTGCTCTTATCCCCTCCCAAAATGACCATTACTCCGAATAGACTAGAAGAAAAAGTATGTCTTGTAAATAGGGTCAGCAAGAGTAGAACAAAATGGTTTATAACTTCCCAAATTAACATAACAATATTTGAGGATCAATTTAGATAATATGTATGTCTTCAATGTATATGTTGTCTTGCAAGCATTCCCAAGAATGTGTTGTATTCTTTGCAATTCATACGGGCTGATGGTATGAGAATATGAGATTACAAGAGTATATAGTTTGATATAGAAAGCTATTGAATATATGGCAAACTAAGTTCTTATACAATATACACATAGGTATTTATTATGTAGCATCAATGTCAGTTTCATGAAGTTGGCAACCAAGAAAGTAGAGAGGGGTAAGCAAAAGCCATTCTAAAGCCCCACTAAAGATAACAACCCAGTTCAATCCCACATATGGCCCTATGACCCACAGGGTGTATGCATAGATATTAATGGTGTTCACCATTTACACATATGGCCCTATGACCCTGAGGGCTGAGGCATGCAGATGACACCCTGAAGGACTCGGGCGAGGCATTTTACAATTGGTGTGCCATGGTGGTAACCATTCATGGCTGGATTTGTGGCAAGAAGTGCACGCCATCTTTGTTATGCATTTGGTCAATATTTTTTGAAAGATTGGGCTGACCTTGACTTGATTAGGCACTTTTAAACACATCGCCTCTCTTCTGCTTCGCTCTAAAAACCTACGCCATCCACCGCTTCTATTTGCTCCAGCACGCTTCTTCTCTATCACAACTCTTTGTCATCGTCTTTGCGTCGTGCAATGTGGCCCTTTTTTCTCGCATAGTCGCACACAATCGCAACCTACTTTACGCACTCAATGCTACAAATAAATCTATGAATTTATTGCATGTTATTATTTTGTATTTATTTATTTTTATTATGTTTTCTTTATTCCAAATTACAACTCAGTTGGATCCCACGAGAGTAGAGTCTATTCTAAATTCATGATTATTATTATTGATTTAAATTATTGATTAATATTATTATGTTTTTCATTTTTAAAAATGATTAGTATGATTTGGTTCACTTTATTTTAGAGAGAAAAATATTTTAGTTTTCTGATTGTTTTTTTATTATCTTATTCATTATGTGTATTATAATACGTAACATTCACTATCTCATTCACTATATATGTGTGTTTGTGTGTGTTTATGTGTATATGTGGGCCATTTGACTGTCCACCTATATTACCTTGCCTATCGCCATCCATAACAATGAGTGTGTGCAAACCTTACCTCTACTTAAGAGAGTACAATCTGGAGAGGACCTCTACTCGAAAGTAGAGAAGTTGTTTCCAGGAGACCCTAACTTAAGTAACACATGTAGCATAGAACACGTGAAAAGAGTAGCAAACTAAGGTGTATGAAGAGAACAAACAAGGAGAAAGCACCAAGCAAAGAAATCACATAATGACACGTGTAAAACCAACCACCAAGCCCAAAAGCCTACCTCACTACCCAAGTCCTTGATCTCCACACACTCTTATCTAAGATCATATCCTCAATAAGGGCTCAGCTCCAATGAATGTGATAGTTATATAGATCATGCAATGATATTTTTTATTGTCGAGAGTTATCTCCTCTACAAGCTTCATCATAACCATTACATGTCATATAACTATATATGCCCTCGTTAACTTGGTACTTTCTCTGTCACTCTTTGCCTTCATGCCTTTTAAGTCCTAACTAGAGCTTCTTCGAACACTTCAAAACATCTCAAACAATTCTCACATCTTATCCTTAATCATGGCTACTCTTATTTTAAAATTTAACACCTCATTCATATTTTTGTCCCTATTTGTCACTAGGGTAATGTTGTTGTTGTATTTCTTATTTTTAATAGGCTTACATCATAGCATTTGTCACTTCTGCCAACATTTAGTAAACATGTTGAAACATAACTGCCTAACTCCAAGCCATACAACATAGCAAGAGTAATAGCTTTCCTAGAATCACTTTTAATGCAAGTTGTATATCTTGATCACATCATCATACGTTGGAAAGAATTACATCATAATTCATAATCTCTAATTCAGGACATATTTAAGCATAAATTGCTCTCTATCAATGAGTAGAGGTTTTGTTGTCCTTAAGAAGAGGTTTTTTGTGCTTTTGTGTTAGAAACGACCTTAAAGGACAAGTAATGTCAGTAACATATACTCCTTCCCATTCACAAGGCCAAATATATCTTCTTTCCTAAGATACTCAATGCTTACTTCAATAGTTGTTATAATAGAGTAGTCAAAGTCACTCAATAATTTATAAAATGTTTGATGTAGTTTTTTAAATAAAATTGATTTTACGCATATACTTATATAAAGTGAGTTGAAAATAGCTCAAGTCAAACATTGTTAACAAAAAACAAAGTTTATTTAGGGACGGTGGGAGATGTTTCCTTTAAAAACACAAAACAAAACATGTTCAATGCTAAAATGTTTTTAAATATATGAATGTAATTTTGCATTTAATCGTTTTCATATCATGGTAAGTGTTTTAATGGTAATGCGAGTAGTGAGGAATTGGGGTTGAATAGATGAGACTGAGGGTAGCACTATGGTTATTGTTGATTGTGATAGGTTCCAGGCTTGTTGGTTAAGTCATATTATATTTAAGTAATTCGCACTATTCAATTATTTGTTGAGTTTGTTTTAGTTTATCATTTAATAATGATTTAATTCCACTTAGTGGGAAGTTAGGGGTCAGTTATTCCCACTTAGTTAGTGGGATGTTTAGGGTAAGTCATTCCACTTTGTTAGTGGGTGGTTATGAGTAAGTTATTACTAGTAGAAGTTAGTCTCTTTGTATAAATAGACATCTAGTCATTAGTATTAATTATGGAAGATTACACAGCATTTTAACATTGGAGATTCTCCTTAGCTTTATTAGTTATATGAGTTTAAGATTCTTACTCATATTCTGATAAAAATTTTCCTTCATCTCTATTTTTTATGATGCTAGATCCTGATTTCATAATTCGATGAAGACTATCTTTCATTTATTTTCCCCACCAATCTCGAGTTGACGAGTTCTATCAGACTGGGAGAAAAAGGTGAGGATAATGACAAGATAACAATAGCAATGGGTAGTTACATGGTAACAGAGTGCGAATGAAGGTGAATGAGTATGGCAATATGGACGAGTTAACATGTCATATTGGTAAAAGTACACAATGTATTCTCGTTTCTTGTCATAAAAATGATTTTCATTTGATCATACATTATGTGAGAGGTACTATTTTCCACTATCTATGTTTTTTTTTTTTTGAAAAATGCATTTTCTTTCTTAAAAAATAGAGTTTTACAATTTTGTTGAGCCAACAGTGTCCAAACAATGAATGTACAAAAGAGTTTCTTCACACTATAGCGGGCATTTGCTAAGTTAAAAATCTAAATACAAGGAGTTGTAATGCCTACATGGATACTAGCCCACTACCACATTAGTTTATTAAAACAAGCAAATGAAAGTCTCTAAAGAAAAAGGTTTGTCAAAACCTACCTTCGTGCTTCTCTAAAATCTCACGCATAATTAAGGTATTTATAGAAATATAAAGCAATAAGTAGCTCATGTTTCAGGCCAAAGCTATAGACATTCTAATTCACACACTTAATAGTATATTGATCATGTTCCACAATGTCTAGTTAATTTTACAATATCAACATTGTAATGCATAATAGCAATGGCAATATCTCTATTCAGCATCTTTGTCATGATACTTTTCATGTATTTGGAGATGATTTATGATGGTGGACGCTTTAGGATTTTCATCTCATTTGTGTAAACACACCCTCCTAGAGCCTACATTTTATGGAATTATACTAGACTTGTTGTTCCTTCTTATGAAGGTTAAGGAATTGAGGGCAAAATAATCCCAACTCCATTGGGGTCTAGAGTTGAGCCTGTAAAATACAAATATAATGTTTTGTTGTTAAGGTTAAAGGCATCCATAACACAACATTGTCACTGTTTTTGCAGGAAATCATAATGTTGATTATTGGTACACGATTATTTTCCACAATAACATTAATGCTTACAATTAAGATGTTGATAAGGATGATGATGACAGTAGAGGGTACTAGTAGACATTTATTAAACTCAATTACAAGGGGATAGCTCTAAGTAAGGCACAATAACGAAGGAATGAAAGAGTTTAAAGAGAACAACCATACCTGATTCATCTCAGAAATCAGTTGATTCAATATCTTCAAACCAATGGCATAATGCAATGGTGTCTGAGGACATTAAGAGCAAAGCATAAGAAAAAATTGCAAACTAAGAGCCTATACTTTATAGACATAGTTTTGACTACATGCAACAAACACAACAACAACATACCCTGTATAATCTCAACTTTATTGGGGCCTAGGATCAAAATGTAAGTGGCCATATAATACAATAGAAAGACTGTTTCCGTTAGACCCTGGATGCATTTATTATCCAAAACTTCATAGAAAACAAGAAGGAAGGAGAGTGTATAGTGCCTTAGTCCATTTTAACCCAAAGCTAGAACATAGTAAAAAATGACTCTTTTAACTCTATTGGTGATGGATGCATAAATTTGAGTACATGAAAATATAAAACAGAAATATAGCAAAAACAGATATTAAAAAATAAAAGAAGCAGGTACTAAGACGAGCATTTAAAAATGTAGATACACAGTATACTACGATGTGCACAATTATCATATAACCAGGAAACATATACAGCCAGTAATTTGTAGCTCAAGGTTTTTTGAAAAAATAAGTTAGAGTACAAATAGCTTATTCAATATTATTATAGCTTTACCATTAGATCATATATACCTGATTCAAAAAGACTGTTGATTCCTTAACCACATCCCTGAAACTGTCTTCTTCAAACCACCCATACTTTGTAACCCGGCAAAACAGTTGGATTAGAGAAGCAGTTACAAAAGACTCCAAACCAGGTCCTCTTGTGGCCAGGTACTTTATGATATAGTTTCCTTGAGAAAAGGTGAAGATTAGCCAAACAACTCTCAATTGGCAAGACATCATTATGTGTGAATACCACAAACCTATATACATATAGGTGTGTCGTGTGTGTCATGTTTTTGTGAGTGTGTGTATATAATGAAGGTTTAGGACTAAAGGGCAAACAATCCCAACTCCATTGGGGTTGGCCTGTAAAAAACCAAGAGTGTTTCCTAATGAAGGTTAGGGTCATCCATCATACCTCGTAACTGGCATATATATATATATATATATATATATATATATATATATATATATATATATATATAATACATAGTAGGGTAAAAGTGCATAATACTTGCAACGGTACGTCAAATAGTGCAGATATGTTGAAAATGATTTCACGTGTTGTTTTCAAATATACCTCCCCCTCCCTACTTTCCTATAGAAACCATGTACTACTCACTATCCATTACAGTCTATAATCCATAACTAAATATTCAAATACATAAAATTAGAAGAAAAACATATTTCATCTCATGCATATAAGAAGTAGAGAATATGGTTTTAAAGTGCTTTTATGAGTCATCCTATTTAACAAGGAATAACATACAACCCCTAGAGAGCCACACAGAAAAAGTCAAATGTAGATTTGGGGAAGAGGAAAACTTATGTAGCCTAAAAATCCAATAAAAACGCTCCATGCTAATAAGAACATTACGAATATCAAGCCGAAGCTGCAAAGATAGATGCTGATCTGTCACTTGCTTCGACAAGCTTGAACTAGCCATCAATAACGCATAAGGTGTTGATGCATTGTCTAAAATGTATTGGCACTGTGAGATGTAGCTACTGTTTATTGAGAAGCATTTGAGAGTATTCTCTGCATGTGCTCGTTCAGCCGAATCTTGAGAGTTGTAGAGCCTCTCGCACAATGCTTCAAGGTGTGCCAAGCTCTCCATCTTACAGAATTGTGAACTTCTTGGAGTCCAGGCAATCAAGCAATTAAAGGTAAAGACGTCAAAAGCCTTTTGGATATATAAATAAAGCAAAATTAGAATCCCCAAAAACTCTGCAGTTATGTATAGCAGGCCAATCAGTGGAAAGAAGATATAATGGGTGGAAGAATTCAATTCAGGTCAAATGATTTCAGTTATAATACACAGATAAAATTATAAAATGCAGCATTGTTTACAAATTACACAAATGGGGGACCTAAATTATGCTTTTCTTCCTTTTTACAAAAAATTCCTACTAAATGCGGACAATCAACACGGAAGGGCAGTAGAACTGATCAGCAAGCCTCAGATGAGGTAATTATGCCCAAGCAGACCATTATTTGCAGCCTTTCCTGAAAATGAATTATAATTGAAGTTATTGAACGGAATGCATATTACATACAATGCATAAATCAACCCACCATAACTGATAGAAAAACTACGAATCCCTCCAGTAACTAAACCAAAAGTATGAATAAAAATCGCAGATTTTGGGTGGAAATGAAGATAATATAAAGAACTAACTGAAGAATTCCAAAAAAAACGCTTGAAAAGTCACTAAGAAATGATTTACGAGAATCAATGGAGGAACTTGGGTCTCACGTTGGTGTTGGGCTTTTTGGCCAGTAGCACGAGAGATTGAGAAGTGTGTTAGGGTTTAGTTTTGTGAGAGAATGGCTGGATTGAGGATTGAGGAAGAATTCTATTGCCCGATTTCTTAAAAGTACGTATTTCACTGCGTTTTGTAGGTTAATAGCATGCGTGCCTAGTGGTTTTAAATAAAGCATACATTTCCCCTTATCTATTTTTAAAGCAAAAATGATATTTATGCCCTTTGTTTTCCCAATCTTGAATTTTTCCAATTTCAATTTCCTTTATTGTACAAATATATAAAATAAAATATACGTTTCCCATCTCAAATTAAAATTTTTCATAAAATATAAAATATTATGTACAAAGTAAAAATAATAATAGTTAAAAAAGGTAATGAATAGAAATAAAAATATAAATAATAGTCTTTTTCTTTAACTCCATATTTTATTTTATCTTTTTGTTCTTCATTTTTTAAAGTCCTTAAAAAATTATTGTACTTTAAAAAAACAAATAAGTTTGAATTTTTAATTAGAGATAGAGTGAATATGTGTTATCTAATTTTTTATATTATTTATTTTACTTTTACTTATAATGAAAAAGTGTATTTTATTCCATTTCTTGTAACATTTTTTTAAAAAAATTATTTTTTTAAAAATTAAATAAATGAAAAATTTTAATTTGAGAAAGGACAGAAATTCATTTAATGAAAAGAGTGAAATTTGAATATAGAGAAAAACCAAGGGCAGAAATTCATTTAATGTCTAAAATATGCAAAAAGGGGTGTCTATGCACTATTTAAAAACCACAGGGTTTTATAAATAACTTTTGAAAGTATAGGAGGTTTTGGCGCTCCTTTTGTATACCACGGGGGGCACCCATGCTATTACCCCTTTTTTATTTTTATAAAGATTAATACATATTTGGGTCTGGTTAGGAAAAGAATATCTTTCCAAAAACATGTTTTATAAGGAAAATTACTTTTAAGAAATTATATGAGTAAATTTTATAATAAGATATTTTTTATATTTAATCCATTATGATCAAATAGTATGTTTTTAGTTCTTATTTTATTAGTACATTTCTATGACTAGTTCTTTTGTTACCTTCTCAGTATAATTTCCAAACAATCATATATCTCTCTCTTATCATAACTAATGTAAAAAGTCGTTGTTAATGTGTCATTTGCCAACTTGAATCATTATTCACTGCAACCATATTCCATAAGTGTCATCTCTTATCAGGATTTTAGTTAAAGTAAGAGCTATTTTTGTTGTGTTGTTTGTCAGGCAGACATTAGAATACATCACTAAAGATTGAGTCCATGCAAAATTACACTTTTAATTCTTAAATTAACACTGACGTGATAGAAGACCAAAAAAGATTATTCGTAAAAAAAATCTCATAAGAAAGGATCACAGATGTAATATTTAATAATGGTTGGTTAAGAGCTTGTTTTTTAAGACTAGAAAAAAGCTAGATATTAGAAGAAACTAGAAAAAATTGGAAGAACTAAAAGTACATAAAAAACTAGAATTAACTGAAAAAAATTAGTAGAAACTCGAAAAATTAGAAAAGATTCGAAAATTTAAAAAAACATTAAAAGAATTATTTTAGTGTATTTTTATATTATTCTCATTCTTATTCTTGTTTTTATAAACTATTATTATTAGTATCACGTTATGTTAATGAATGCCTTTAAGATAAAAAAAAATATTGTTATTTTTCATACACAAAAATACTTTTACAAAAAACATTAATTAAAATATAAAATCATCATAACTATCAAAATATTAAATTTTAAAAAGTTAATGTGGCTACATTGCAACTCAATTTATTTATGCAGTATTTATTAATATATAATATATTTGTAATTATATTTTATATACACGCCCTTCCCAGACCCTACTGTAATGGGATTCAACTAGGTTGTTGTTGTTGTATACTACAAGATTTTGTTTTAAATATCAGAAAAGTCACGTTATATAATCAAACCTATTTTTTCTTTCATGATTGACACTTTATTTTCATTGTAACTACTATTTTTAGAATGAAGATATATAACTTTTATTTTTGTACATTTTTTATGTTTTACTCAGACTTTAGTCTTTTCTTTAAACTATTCTCACTTTCAAAAATTTTTATAAAAATTTTAAAAAAAATAATTTTTTGAAATAAATAAAATGATAAAAAATTGAGTAATAAAGAGAAAGGTGAATGGTCTATTTTCTCTGCTCCCTTTTCGTTTCTCGGCATTTTTTTGCTGATTGTTTTTCTGTTCCCTCTTTATTTTTTCGTAAGTAACTATTTTATCAATAATCTTTTAATATAGTTCAAATTATTGACGTTTTCCTATTTTATCATGTATATTAATATACAAAAAATTGTACTATTCATGTTAGAAAGTTGGATAAAAGATAATAATGGCATGAATAGAAAAAATAGTGAGATGAAAAATTAAAATAATTTATAAACTATAGTTATGAACACAATAGTTGTAATGATAATAATAATAATAATAATAATAATAATAAGATATCATTTTTAGAGTAATTAGTTAGAAATTACTATTTTATCATGTATATTAATATACAAAAAATTGTACTATTCATGTTAGAAAGTTGGATAAAAGATAATAATGGCATGAATAGAAAAAATAGTGAGATGAAAAATTGAAATAATTTATAAACTATAGTTATGAACACAATAGTTGTAATGATAATAATAATAATAATAATAATAATAATAATAAGATATCATTTTTAGAGTAATTAGATAGAAATTAGAAAGAGTTTGAAGAAAATGAGAAGAGTTAGAAGACACTAGAAAAATTTGGAAAAAACTTGGAGAAACTATTAAGAACCAGAAAAAACTGGAAGTTAAAAGTTTAGACTCTAAAGAACAGACTCTAAACATGGAAAACTGTTAGTCGGTTTACTCGTTGTGCCCACGTCTTAGAGAGGGGGTGAATAAGGCGTTTAAAATCTTTTTGGAGTTTGATAAAAAAATGGTGTTGGCAAATGCGGAAGCAATATATAAAACGCAGAAATAAAAGCGTAAATAAAATGCACACCGATTTTATACTGGTTCGGGAAACCCCTACTCCAGTACCTCGAGGCTCCTCCTCAAGGATTTTCGAATCCACTAAGTCCCGCCTCTTGAACTCCGTCAAAGCACCGGACTAGTTTTGACAAACAACCCTTGCCAATAGGGTTCACTCCGAGATTTCACAACGCCTATCTCGAACCGTTTACAATGAAAATTTAACGGCTATCTTCTACCGTTCCCCCAAGAATTTCAAAGGTTATCCTTGAACCTTTACCCAAGGATTTAAACGGCTAACCTCGACCGATACAATATGAGAATTTAACGGTTATTCTCGACCGTATAAAGATGTGTTTGAAGAACACAAACAAGAGTTCTACACAACGGCTTGAATATAAAAATGAAGAACAAAACTTAGCCGGTGTAGAAGGAAAGTATACTCTCTCAAAAATACAATTCAAACTTATGAATATGAGAGTATATATAACTAGACTAGAAACACAAGCTCAAAGTGTGTGTATAAAACTCGGGAATATAAGGCTCTTAAAATAGCCAAAATATTGAAAATAATTAATAAAAGAATGAACACACTAAGAATAAAAAGAGAGGATGTTTAGAACTTTGTTTTTTGAAGAAATATGAAAGATTAGGGTTGTATTTATAGTGTAAGATGTTAATTAGCCGTTGGGAGGCGATTAGGGTTGATTTAATTCAAAATCTCAAATCAGGAACAGTAACCCATCGGTCACGGTAGGCTGGTACCGTTCACACGGTAGCATGGTACCGTGCGTACAGTAGGGGTACCGTGAGTGGCGGTACCTCGGTGGCGGGAGGGGGGCTGGGGTGGGGGGCAAGGGTAGGGTTGAGGTGGGGGGTTTAGGGGGAGGGTTAGGGGGGTAGGAACCATCATTTTTACAAACGGAGCACCGTAGGTACCCAAACGAACTGGTGTAAAAAAATGACACCAGTAGAACTGGTGTCATTTTAGACTTACCGTGTGTGTGTGTGTGTGTAGTGCATACTTTGCACTAAATATTTAGTAAACACATGAGTAAAAAGTAAGTAATGAATAATATTTCGTATATTATTTTTTAAGTAATCATATTCCGTATATTTTTTCAAGTAATCATATTCGGTATATAAGAGTATACTTATTACAACAATCTATACTACTCCGGCAACTCTGTATTATTTATTTACTCTCATACAGAGTATCATTTATAGGGATCGGCCCGTGGGCTTTAACAACGCAATCCAAGTCCGCATTTTTCCCGGGCATGCCTATCGGGCCGGGTCAAGTACCCGAGCACATGATCGGGTCTAAGTCTGAGCAAGACTTCATTAGTTCCCATTTATCTTAAACCCAATATTAAGGTCCGCACAATACACTATTTCCAAAATTATTCTGTTAAAAATAATATTGTCAAGATTATTATGTTACATCTTGATAATGCAATATACTACTACTAAATTCATTTCGTTAATTATCATATTCACATCGCTTCTATATCAAACAGTAATGTCGAACCGTTTTGATAATTATAGTACATAGTAGTTATTATATGGTTTGTAACATACAATAATCATATTGTGTGACAGCAAGATTAAAACTCGCGACCTCTAGGTCAACTACACTCTAATACCACCATCACAAAGCACCCAACACAAACAAAAGTTCGAGCTTGTAATTGCAGACCAATAAAGGTTTTTGCTAAGGACTCAATTCAATTTTTTTAAAAAACAAATTTAAGGATTTGATGATTGCCAAATGAACCTTCAAGTTTAAAGCAACACACACAATCAAGGAGAGCAATTCTGAGTTTAAACAAGAGTACAAACACTGCATCCCCAATTACGAATTACAGTACCAAACCAGGCAAGTATTTTATTTATATGATTTTTGAATGTTAAACTTAACTGGGGAAACCAGGAAACATGGACCAGAATCTTCCATAATGTAGCTCCTTAAATCTGCAATGGAAACATCATAGAATGATTTTAATGAATAAACAAAAAAATCACTACTGTACAATACATAAAGTTACTTTTTTTTAGCAAGTTTACAAAAGTTTTTAGAAGCAAAATTAGCTCACAAAGCCTCACTTCCTAACAGTTTCATTTTTTGTTGTTGTAAATAATGAATTTATTATTTTCACTATCTCTGATTTATCTTCATTCATTTTTTGCCCGTCCAAAAGTTATACCTCTGTTCTCTTAAGAGTTAAAAAAAACTTATGCATTTGGTAATTGGTATTATGTCTCTTTCTTCATGATAAATCCAAACCACATAGTTTCTTCTTTCTTAAGAAACGTGTAAAGTCAAAATGGGAGTTAAATAAGGGACAGAATGTAATAGAAAATTAGAAATATAATAAAAATTAGGTATCTTTTGTGACGGAAATAGCTCGTAGACTTCCTTTTTCATCCTAAACCAGTAAAAGTGTAAAAGAAATAGTAGACTGAAACATGATCAAACAATATAATTCACGATTGAGCGGCAAAAACAAAGGTCCAGGCACAATGGTTAGGCTGATTTAGCAGCCTAACCTGCCTGATCAGCTGATCAATATTTTTGATTGACTAGGGGTTCCAGGCCCTTTTGTTTGGAGCAAAGATTCTAACCTCAAATTATTTCCTTCAGAAAGTTTTGGCCTTAATCGTTGTCTTCCTTGCCATAGTTATATATTATCTCAATCTGCATCGGAAAGCAAACCAAAGAATTACAATAGGGAACAAACAGTGATGCATGTATGCGTACACGAAAAAGAGAACAGAACTGATGTGTGGATTTGGACATGAGAACTCAACTCAAAGTTAACAAAGCATGTCAAAGAAAAGAGTAAATATTTACTATATACTTATTGATGGATAAAAGAATAGCTCAAACAATTTACCCCAGAAGGAGGCACGGGATTTCGGTTAAACTTGCTACCACCAGGAGCCCATGGAACTGTTAATCATACGAGAAATACAATGTGACATTTTTTTGGTACTAAAATGACAACAAAAGTGAGGTAAAAGTAAAACTGAAGTTGTTTACTGCTTGGGTTTCACATCATCTTCTATTGTTCAAATCATGTAATTAATATCTGTGTTAAAGAACAAAAATGAACTTACCAATATAAGGATCAGGATGTCTCCACTTATCATAGGCCGCCTCGGCATCAGCTATCATTCTATCAATTGTCTCAACATCTTCCTGAGTGTCAACAAAATAGAATGATAACAAGACCGTGTGTGGATTCAATTATGAAGGCAGTGAATATGACTCTGGAAAATATTGACCAAATATGTGTAATCTTACATCATAAAAGTAAAGCAGTTGTTGTTTTTTTACTGATTTGATGACCATCAATCAACTATTATAGCGACCAGCGGGTTAAAGATTAGGATAATCACACATAAGGCTATATCCACAATTAAAGCATGACTACAACTTTCAGTATACATTCACAATTAACTGACACTGCAAACTGCTAGAAGATCTAGAACGGATCGGCTATCCAAGAAAAAAATCATTTACAGAACCGTAAAAACGTTAATCAGTACACCCACAGGCCACAGTATTTAATTTCAGCAATGCAGCCAATGAAACTTTCTTACTAGAATTCAAAAGGTATGAGAATTGGCAAGGTGCTGCAATTACAATATACAGAAACAAAAGCTACAAATAAGAACAATCACTGAACTGATCATACATTTCTACGCGATAATTGAAATTTTACCTACAAATAAGAAAACATTAAGCTAGCCATTTGGGAATTTCGGGGGAAAAGAGAATAATGTAAATTGAGAGGAAATGCAGACGAACCACGTGCTTGTTAGCATCGAACTTCTCCCTGAGAGCATCGGCCTGAAAGAAGCAAAAGAGCTTTCTCCGGTTAGGAAAAGGGGTGGTTAAGCGTGTGAAAAGGGAGAAAATGTGTAGATCGAGACAAAAGAAACCCTAGAAATGGGGGGAGGCGTACATCACTGTAGAAGATGTGGCGATGGACAGCCCAGTTGAGCGTGTCTTTGAGGGCACGGCGGTAGAGAATCCGCACTCTCTCCTTCTGCGCCGCTCTCCGAGCTAGGTACGACGCCGCTGCAACAGCTCCGGTCATCTCTCTTCTTCTTCCTCAAAGCTCTTCTTGGTTCGAAATTAGAAACCACTTGGTGCCGTCCACCAGGTAGCTTTCCACTTTCAATCTCACAGTATTTTTGCTTCAAAAAATTTGAAAGGAAAACAAAAGGAAATAAAACAAAAAACACTTTTTTTGTTTGGTTAGAAAAAAAAAATAAATATCAAAGGAAAATGAAATGAAAAGATAAAATATATTAAGAAAAAGGAAAACCATCCTTATTCTGGTCAAGAGAACGAGTAAAAATCATTTTCTTTTCTTTCAAATTATTTGAACCAAACATAGTGTAAGGATATAAGTGCTTTTGGTATCATTCATAATAATTTTTTTAAAGATATTTTCTTAAACAAAATACTCTGTCAATCCGTTAGAGATCGTTTCAAATTGATTTTTTGAGGTTTTAAAAAAATGAATTTGACACATTCTCCACCCAACTCAATTACATTCTGCAAGTGTATTTGACACTTAGGGAGAGTTGATTTATTTTTAGTTTAAGAGAAATGGTGAGTGAACAAACAAAAAATTAAAAGTATATAATACGGAATAATAACTCTAAAACGCTAATTGTAAAGAAAATAAAGAATCATTGAGTAGCATTTCAACATTAATATTGATAGCTCTAAGTAATTCTATTTCAGAAAATTTTATCAAGAGCATAACAAAAGAAAGCATAATATCCTCATTGTTTTAAGCAAAAAGAGAAAAAAACTAAATAGTCAAGGACCACTTGTAGACATTTCTTCAAACACATAGAGGGCACAAAATATTAACCTAAAAAAGAAAAAATTATGAATCTATTAAAGAGTTCAAAAATAAAAAATATGAGCAGTAACTAATTACAATACAAAAATAAACAAATTCAACTCCATAAATACTAAAAACAACAAGATTTACGAATTAGGTTGCAAAAATAAAGCAAAGGGCAATTAGAAATTGGCTTTAAAGAGTAAATACCGAAAAGTAATGAAAAACACGATCATGAATTTCACGCACTCATCAAATTACTAATAATAGACTAATATATATACTAGTTAAAAAAAAGAGTGACTGCAAGTGACTCCACTTACACCACCCTAGGTCTACCCTGACTGGGTGGGGTGTTTACCATGGAGGTAAGAAGAGGAGAATAAGAACTACCCGAGTATCAATTTCGCAAATGGGACAATGTAAGTGTTTCAATTGGGACAATGTCTGACCACTCATAGAGATTGGCCACGGAACCTAGCCGCATGATCTATGGAACAACTAATATTTGCCATGTATTTTGTGATTAGAAGCCGAAGAAAGATTTATAACCTAATGAAAAATAACAATCACCTGATAAAAAATGAAATGTTCATTTCATAACTATTATAGCTTCTTTTTGTGCACACTATACAATGAGTTTTCAAACTATGACCCACACTAAAGAAGGAAAAAAAAAAGATCACATAGCTTATGCAGACTGGAAAGAGAGCAACATATATAGCCAAACATTATAAGAACACAACCACACACACATTACACATATCATATCATCACATTGCTTTATTCCCTTCATATATTTTTAAGATACAAACATAGATAGGATATATCCTCATCAGTATGAAGATTTATGGTTAGCACCCGATTCGAGAGTCTTGATTCCAGTCAGTTTTACCAAGAAGTCGAACGAAGTGAAGGAATGTGGAAGGAGCACGACATCCATCTTCTCACCTGCAATTTGCAGCATGTTTTTCTTAGGTATCACCTGCATCATCATCATCATCACCATCGTCATCATCATCATCATAATCAGCCCCAAAAATGAAATACTTTTCGTTAGTCGATAAAGTTCACAAGTATTGCCCAATTTCTAAGGTGGAAATATCATTCGGGTACCTTTTTAGGCTCGACAAAGGAATTCTCGTCGAGAACGTTACTAGAGGTTAACACGGTTTCCATTGATCCGAATAACTGTTTGGAGTTCTGCTGAAGCCCATCTATGGTGATTTTAAGAGTCACATTGCTGCCCCCAATGTTAACAGCCTACATTGTTGTCATATATACAACAAAATGAGAAAAAAAAGACAAAAACAGAAAGGAAATAAGATCCCATTTTGTAGGCTTTTTTTTGGCCTTTTAGCCATCCAATCTCTTGTAGATATAATCACTTCATCCACTTTTACCCTTACTAAACAGGCACTAAATTTGGGTTTTAACTTCAAAATTAAACAAAAAAAACATTATCGTATCATAGTACACGAAAGATCAAACCTTTATCCTCAAATACTCATGATTATCTTCAGAGTTCTGCCAAGTGATAGCAGAAGCAAGAAGAGAACTTGAAAGGTTGGTTGTGAGGGTAGAGCTCAACAGAGTTGCGCCATTAGACTCGCCGAAAAATTGCTGCATCCAGTAACTAGGAGTTCCATACGCTTGTGACGAAGTGAAAACAATGGCATCTGGGTTCCACCTAACACAAATGACGGTTTTGCCCCTAAGAGAGGTCCGGGAATACCATTTCGAAAGTATTAAGAAACCATAAAAAAAAGGTTTAATACTCACGTCCTGTCGTTTTCGTTCACAAACAGAGGTGCGTAACTTGCCATTTCAACAGCATCACTGAATGGAAGACAAATTGAGGATGAGGAACCAAGGACAGAGCAATATAATAAGAGTGGGGTTCTTTTGACACCAAGGGTCAGAGTCATAATATGTGGCATAGTGGCGAAACCCGGGGGTTTGTAGGGGGTAAGATATTTAAAGCTTTCTAATAAAAACTTTTGGTCATATATTGGTGGTAATTTAGTCCAATCATCATTATATCCTACGTCGTCGTTTGCAATAAACACTAACTTTTCAAAGGGCTTATTTACAGCTCTCAAAAACCTTGAGGGTCATTTGGTAATTTGGCCAAACATCGGGAGATACATGCAATTAACCCAAAGCTTATTAAAATCTTAAAAGTACAGTAGTATCTACATTAAACCACCCCTGAAGAAGTAAAAAAGCATACCCGTTTCTTTCAATCCCAATAAGAAAACCAGCTTCGGCCAATGCAGCCAAAAGGCTGCCTTTGCCACAATCTTTATTTAGAGTCACCGCATACTCACTCACAAAAGCCTACAAGAAAGAAATTTTTTAAAGAGTATCTGTATCACTTCACTCATGGGAAATTTATAACGTACCTTTGGACCGCTTCGTGGCACGTGATCAAATTTGTTGGCCAAAGAAAACACCGTACTAGCGGAGCTATAAATCTAACACATGGGAAATGTTGCATTTTTAGGCATTGCCAGCTGAGTATTTGTTATGTGCTAAAAATGAGCATCTGGGAAGAAGCTTACATGATAATCGTATAAATCAGCCGGATGATTCAATGGTTGGGAAGAGCCATCACAGTTTGAGATTATATGAATATCTGGATAGGCTTGTTTGATTGCAGAGTAGAACTTGAGGTAATTTCCTGAGTCATGTAATGATAATGGCGTCGTTTCCAATTCATATTTATCTGTATTTAAAAAATATTACTAAAAAAAGACCATGTGCCATACCACGATATTTTGACTTCCAACAGTCTTCGTTCCCAATCGCAACGTATCTCAAATCAAATGGTTCTGGGTGACCCAAAGCAGCTCTAACTGAACCCCATGTTGAGGTGGGGTCCCCCCTCGCAAACTCAATCCCGTCTAATATCTCCTGTTCAATAAATTAAATAACATTTGGTTAGAGAATAACATTATTCACGTGTCGGTTGGGAAATATAACCAAAATGTCTATTACGAAAGAGGAGATAATGTACTTGCACAAATGGTAAGATGCTTGACGTATCGACTTGGTCATTATGGCTGATTCCTGACAAGGGAAAAAAATGAAGATCTTTTAATTCATCGTCTATTTGTAGACGCAAGTCAAATGATGTTCTAAACCATCCCCAAGGTGCTAAAAAACTCGGGAATGTCACCTAAGGAGGGGCCGGCGGCCCCACACTCGAACAAAACAAAAATGCTAGAAACTCACCACGTTTGACACCAAGTTCTCCACAGAGACATATACTGGCAGTCATTGTGTGTCACAGAAGACCATGACTGTCTGTATATGTTTGTGAAGCTCTTGGTGTCAAACCTGTTGTAACACTAGCAACAAAATGCAGGATTTTTAGAAGAGAGGCGCTAAATGACCTCCATACCGTTATTGAACACCCATACTGGCAGTGCCCCCAAATCTTCTGCAAGCTGGCGTAGACAAAATGCATATACTCTATTACTTACACAAAGTAAAGTAATAAATTATAAATATAATTTTCAAAGGAAGTGTTTGGGACCTGAAGGAACTCAAGATGCCCTAACCCATCATCAGTCCAGTAATGCCAAACATCACCGAAATGCCCTGGCCTCTCTTCCCATGCTCCGATGGTTTCTTTCCACCGGAACGCATTTCTCAGCCATTCACCTTCAACAAAACATCCACCTGGAAATCTGAGGAATGCTGGTTTCAAATCTTTAAGCATCCCAAACAGGTCATTTCGAAAGCCATGCCCCTGATCATAGAGAGCTCTATTAGTTTTTACGCGTTTAATATCTGTTAGAATATATAAAAAAAATCTTGGATCTATAACTACAAGCTTGAGCTTTTGGTTAATAATTTAAATCCATTAGTGTGCGGCTTTTTTGATAGGTGTCTTAAAAGAAATTCACTGCAGTTTGACCAACTCGTACCAATGCGGAGTTGAGGAAGGATTTACATACCTTGTATGTCTCAACAGGCATCAATGACACTTGATCGAACCATATGACACTTTTCTTTGTCGTAGTCAGCTCCAGTCTCGAATTCTGATCTGTTCCCTTTGCTTCCAGAAGCACCTCTATTTTTGTCCAGTTAGAAACATCAGAGGAACTGCAATTCAAACATAAGTAAAAATCACATAGTATATGAAACTATTATTGTTATTATCATCATCATCATCATCATCATCATCATCATCATCATCATCATCATCATCATCATCATCATCATTATCATCATCATCATCATCATCATTATTCAGTAACAGAAAAAATAGCATTTGCCATTAGGTAATTTCTTACATAATGTTAGCAGTAGCCAACTTCTGCAGCCCATTTGAAGCAGTCAATGATGCCGAAACATTAAGCGTTTCAAGTGATCGTACATAGAACACGAGTTTATAACTCTTCCCTTGCTCTATATTCTACAAGAAGAAGAAAAAGTACGTAGAGACATGTTAGTACTGGTTGTGGTTAAGAGAGAGCCCCACACTGAAATATCAAAGAGAGAAATTCAGAAGATATCAAAAGCCAAACTGGTTTTGCTTACAGAACAGACCCTGAATCCCTTTTTATTTTCACCAAACATCCCAGATTTCAAAACCCATACCGATTTTATTCACCAAACAGACCCTTAGTGTGGTTTGGCTCATGTGTATTATGGTCTTGTTAAGTGATCTACTAGATATCTTACCATGCCCCAGAAACCAGGGTTGTAAACTCCAACTCCCCCATTTGGACAATCATTTGCACCTTCACCACCACAATGAATTGCTAGTCGGAGTGCAATTTTGTTGCGCTCGAAGCAAGACGAGCGATCACTGGAGACAGTCAAAGAAGATTCATCCCCTATAACTGACCAAGGATCAATGTTGGAGGGGATATTCTGACCCCCGGCCTCAAAACCTGAAATCAAGTTTCAGGTAAAAATCTAACAAAGATCATATTGAGATTTTTCTAGGATCAAGATTCACAACTACGGGTGAAAATTTCTCATTGCATAAATCCATACAGAGATATTCTACATTTAGAAAGAAAACCCAGACATGATAAGAATCAAGAAAACAATTCAAGAAAATGAATAAATGAAAAGCAATCAAGAAAACCTCTGTTGCTCACAAGCTCTGCCCACAGACCACCAGCACCAGCATGATTAATTTCCTGAAAAACAATATATTGCCGGGATTAGATTAATTAGGTAGACCTTTGTCCCTTAGTCTTAGCTTGTGCTTTGTGTGCTTTCAGTGCTAGGGTCTAGGTGTTGGTGTTGACATGTGTACTTCTTGTGTTTGTGCTCTTACTTTGTTCGCGCTACTGCGTTTATTTTGGAAACAATATCTCTACTTCCAAGTTGGGGTAATATATATTGATCCAATTTGCTTTACCTCAAAGAATAAACCAAACAACGTGTTGGGTATTTTCTTAGCTGATGCTTCTGAGGCATCGACATGGAGCAATGCTAACTGGGAATCGACAGCGGTTCCGGAACATTGGTTTAGTGAAAGAATCCCAAAAAGAAAGAAACTGAAAATGCCCAAAAGGGATGAAGCTGAACCCATTGCTTCTCTCAACCTCAGTCAAGAGACTCCCTATCCTATTCAAGTGCTGCAGAAATGCCAAGTAATTTACATGAAAATGAAACTATTCCAAAAAGTCAACTGAAATTAAAACAAAAGCTTCCATTCTAACAGTTCAACCTATTAGAGAAGTGTCACAATGGCTTTATATGTTTATTTGTATTACAAACAATAAAATCTGTCATTTTGATTTAGCCCATTATTTATGGAAGCTAAAACATGGTCAACTGTATATAGTTCTTTTAGCAATGTGTAATACTCTGTAAGAAACACAAATTGAACAAAAAAGATTTGAGCTTTGAGGAATAACCAAACTGCTAAAATCAGAGATGGCCAAGAAACAGCAGAAAGAATCGGTCAAGATTCACAAAAGGAACACATTAAAACAAGAAAAGATTGAATGAAAACCAAAGAAACAAGGAAATTTTCAATCGGTTGTAATAATAATCATAACCTTTACCTGGAAGGGCCCGAGCTGGGAAAGATTGTGGGAAAGATGGAAACTTTATTATGATTTATGCATGATGATGGAGGTGAAGATTTGTTTGTTGAGAGGGTGAGCTCGGGGTGGAGTTGAAGTGACGAGTGATGACTGATTTTGATTTGTTCCTGAGGTGTATGAATAAATAAATAAATAAATAAATAAATAATGATGGAGATATGAATGAAGACATTGATAAAAGATTGTTGCTTGAAGGATGAAAATGGCTAATATTGGAAAATCTTTGGGCTGACCTCTTTGTTGTTATCTTTGCATTTTCGTCAGCTTTTTTGGTCATGTGCTGAGGTTTCGGTTTGTTCATGTTGCGGTCTTTCTTCTAGAGGGAACATGCAAGGGATGGGCCCCAATGCGGATAAAGCCTATTTATTATTCCACCAGAGCATTAATAATGACAAGGCAAAAATGAAATGTCATACGATGACTTGAAATATTTTAATTAATAAAAAATAACTCAATCACCGTGTGACAAGTGAGTGGAGTATCGTAACATACAGTGGCAAGTCATTGTTTTTGTCTATTTTTGCACTTTTTAATGATTTTTAATTATTAAAAATTATTTTACACATCTTTTTTATTATTAAAATATGTCTACTTCTTTTAAAAAATGTTTCTTTTTAAAAATTAAAAATATTAAAAAAATAAAAAATGAGAAAGTCATGTCTTGCACATGGAATGAAAAGTATGGTGGAATGGTCATGGAATGACTAAACAAGGCAAGGCCATTGTGAATGCTCTAACTCAATAAATTTCACCTTGAAAATTAACTTTTACTAATTCATTTTGTACTTCTATACATTTTGTATGGTTAAGGTACTCCTACAACTAATTACATTCTTAAATCATTTTTTAATTTTAATCAGTTTCACTGTTGGTGCAAAATATAAATTTGGACGGTACTAACTATTTCTTATCGGGTCTAGGATAACGAGCTAAGTCTTTTAACGTTACTAAAATATAAAAAGATGAAAGAGCCCAAAAATGATCGTGGTATAATTGTTATTATTATGATTGAGTGATAAACCTATAAAATTAAAGTACATAAGACGTACATGTAATACTCGAAATTCAGATAAATGAAATGAAGAATATATATACAAGTATGAAATATTTAAGAAGAAATAAAGTATCAATGTCAAACACCATTGATATGTGATTTGCACTCTTCAGTCTCATTGGCCATTGTAGTCTTTTTGGTTAGGAGGGATTTTTTTTTAAAATTAACTTTAACTTTCTACGTTTGGTAGCGTAAGTAGTAGGAGAAGTAATCTTTTTTTAAAAAAAAAAATTTCAACTAAGAAGAGAAAAATAATTTTTGTTTACTTTCGAATCTTTTTTGAAATATTTGTACTAAATAGTACTAAAACTTAAGTCATTTCTTTAAATAGCACTTAAAGTATTTTATTCTCTAAATAGCACTTAATAATGTCCAGTGATGGTGAAAATTTACTTGAATAATGACTAATGGATAATGACTAAAAGTGCTACATTGGAAAAAAACACATGCGATGCTATTTAGGAAAAGTCATTATGTTTTAGTGATATTTAAGTAAAGTGAAATTTGCACTGAATAGAACTAAAACATAAGTCATTTCTCAATGTAGAACTTAAACTTTTTTATTTCCTAAATAGGACTTAATAATGACTAGTGAGAAGAATAATGTCTAAGTGATGTTGGACATTTAGTTGAATAATGACTAATAGATAATGATCAATGGTCCTACATTGGGAAATAAAAACACATGGTCCTATATTGAAAAAATATCCGCCCCCATCCACCCCATGCTCCCACCCCTTTCGCCCCACCCACCCTCACCCACACACAACTCACCGTGGGTCATCCAAACCCCCGACCCACCATCCCAGCCACTTA